GAAGTACGCAGAACAAAGATACCTACTACTTCAAAGTGCTCGCTGTCCAAAAAAAGAAGACAGATATACAGAAAATGGGACAGTAATGATCAGCAAGCTAAACTGTTGCACAGCAAGCTAAGATGTTGTTGCAGAACACAAGTGTGCTTGAAATCTTTATATATATCAACAAGTTTTTAGGTGAGATTTGAGGCCAAGTGGCTTTATATCCATTAATCAGGACAATTTGTCAAGTGTAAAAGTGCAAGTAAAATAAAAAGATAGTCTGACTTTTTTTTTTCTAATGAGTCCATTCTGGAAAGGGTATGTCCTGCCTCCACCACTCTACCTGTGAATGGCTCAGTGACAGAGCCACTTCTGCATGGATTTCTGTAAGACTTTAGTATTCAGTTTGACTCTGTAACCCAGAGGAAAACTTATATAACCAAAAGAGTGAAAAGTATTCTGCTGAGTTAGTGGAATTATTTCAATGTGAAGTTGATGGGTGCCAGAGTAGTGTAAAGCATAGCGTGTGTCGTATAGAGGGAAGGAAAGTAAGGGAAGGGGTTGTGCATCTTTTGGCAGAAGAAAGCTGTGAAATCATCTGAGAAACCTTGCACAGCTTCACAGTCAGAAGCACCATGGGAAAGAACAGGAAGATACTTGTTTGTCACTATGGACCAGCTCAAGATCATGGAATTGTTTATGTTGTAAAAGACCTGTAAGATTACAGAGTCCAACCATTAACCTAACACCACCAAGTCCACCATAAACCATGTCCCTAGGCAATACATCTACATGTCTTTTAAACACCTCCAGGGATGGTGACTCCACCACTTCTCTGGGCAGCCTGTTCTAATGCTTGACAGCCCTTTCAGTGAAGAAGTTTTTCCTAATATGAGTCAGCATCTCAGTAATAAATGAGGTGAGTCAGGAAAGAATAGATTTTTGAGGGGTCTTAAAATTGTAACAGGTAGCTTCTCTTATTTTGTCTTTTTTTCAGATAGAAAAGCAGGAACTTCTGAAAAGCTAAACATTAAGGGTTAATCAGAGCTAAGAAATCTCTGCAGGAGTGGTCTGAACTGGGGTCCCTAAAAAACCAAACCAAAACAAAAGTCTTTGTCAACACCAACATGAACTGTTAAACTTGACAATGGAATGATATTTCTTCTTTTGGGAGGTCAGTCTCTGATTTTGTGCTATTTTTTTCCCCATTTTTGCATTAATCCCATGTTCTTGAGTGCCGTTGCATGACGTTTTGTGACAGGAAGATGTGCAGTGCTGGATCTGATCTTTGATTATGGGAAAGCCATGTGGCTTAGTTGGTAGAATCCAGAATGTATTTAGTCTATTGTCCAGCCCATTGTAAGGGACAGATTAGCAAGAGAATATGTCTCCATTTATGAAGTCATGTTACTTTGTTTAAAATCTTTTACATCTGCCACATGTGAAGTCCTGTTAGACCTGCCTACCTTCCCTATTGGCTTTATTTTTATTAAAAATGAGTAACGCTTGAGTAACTTAAGTAAATATAGTGGGCTTAGTTTTCAGTTGAATATATAGCCATCTGCTTGAGTAACTTAAGTAAATTTTCTACTACTTTTGGATATATGATGCATTTCCAGAAGAGAGAGAACTGGCTATCCAGAAGAGAGAGAACTGGCTATCCAGACTGTAGTCAGTCTTTCCTTGAAGTTAGTGTGTCACAATTATTTTGTTCGCTGGTTTTGTAAGAGATTTTTTGCAAGGAAGTTCTTCTGAAGTTTAAAACAAGACTTGTACTGGCAAGGCTTGACCAAAAAGGCTTCTGTAATCTTAGGTCTTTGAGGTAGTATACTATTAGAGGGTATTTATTTCTTTACTATCTTGTTTTTTCTAAATGCAGTGGTGTTCTTACAATCTAAGTGTGAGCCAGCTAACTTGCTGTATTCATATTATCAATTCAATAGCAGAAATGTCTGTAACTTTCTCAGTGTTGTAGGTCTTATACTTGAGTCCCTACTTTGCCTTGAATTACTTATCTGCTAGTGTCTGGGAAATACCTGGTTGCTCTGCTAAGCACTACAAAGGTACTTTTTTTTCCTCAAACTTTTCTGTCTCTCTAGAAATGAGAGGTTTTCTCAGCGGAAAGAAGGCAATGAGAGAAGTTGCTGGAACTGCAATTTTCATACATGTGTAGAGTAAAATGGTCTTAGTGCACATTTTAATTAGGCAGCCTCATTACAAAGGTCTGATGTTGCTACAGAATTGTTAACATGGGAAGTGGTAGCATCATCATGTCCTGGTTTCTTCACTTCCAAATTGGCTGCCTTTCTGCACAGCATACCTCACTAACTTCTGAGTTACTGCCTGCTCCGTCAGGTAGCTAAATAGAAATTTTCATTGCCAGTGACCTACAAGAGCTTTCCTGAGCTATTCTTGTGGTCTTTCCTGTCCAGATAGTGAGCTTAGTTTTCGGTTGAATATATAGCCATCTGCACTTTCAAAATTAAAATTTAAAAGCCTATTTCCAGTTGTTTTGGAAAGTTGCTGTTACTCTTTGTTCTCCAGGGAATTGAAGTAGAACATTTTGGACAGCTTTAGTGCTGCTCACGTGGGATCTTTCTTGTGGTGTAATGGAGTATGCTACAGGTCCAGAAATGCGTGTGAGCCAGGGAAATTCCCACCTGTTACCCAAGGCAGGGCAAAGTGTAGAAATCAGCCAAACTCTGTTTTCAGAGAAACCAGATTATGAGGAAGTTACTTTCATGTACTGTTACATTCGCTTGAAATTAGGGGCTCTGATGTAAATTGTTTGTAGTGCCATAATTATCCCAACCTGCTTGTCTTCGGTGTTTCTCCTGTTTGCTTGTTTCTATGGCTTGTGCTATTGCAAACCTCTCAAACTGAGTTAAGCACTGGAAAAGTACACTGCGCAGAGGAATCCTAAACTTGGGATCTAGTAAGATTTTTGCTGCCTCTTTATTTCTGTGATCATATTGAAGTTTGGTTTGGTTTGGTTTTTTAACTGGATTGGGGGGTTTTGAAGAGATGCATGCACATATTCCAATTTAAATTCAGAGTTATTGTATGTTTGCTGTCACTATGCATACTGTTCTGCAATGCAAGGTAGCTCTGTACTTGTGGCTGTGTATCCGACAGTTGACTTTGATTATTGCTGTGACATAGATTTGTGGAAAAGATTATTTCACATCAAGCTGATGATTGAGATTGGTGCCCATATTTAGGATCCTGCCTTGTCTTCCCAAAATCTCACTGATCCTTTGAAAAATTACAATTATGTGGTATGACAGTAGCATGCCTGTACATGTGCTGAAGTTTCATTATAAGCAGTGTGGTCAATACAATTGGTTCACCTTACCCTTGAGTAGGCATCTTGCAGCTGGTCACATTAAGTGTTTTCAACTTCATTGGCTGATAGACAAGATCCCCATTGACTACAGTGGGTTTACAGGTTTGCACACCTTAGTTTGGGTGCCTACCTGTATATGTCTTAATCTGTGAGTGCTGTCTTTTATTACTGATGGTAGTGCAAGTACAGGGTCTTGTCTTTCTAAATATGCTCTGGATGTATCTTGATGAGATTGCTAGTTATGTCTGCTTTTTCAAATGTTACTTTTTAAAGTTTTTAAACTATAGAAGCTGATAAAAAGAACTCAGCTTGGTTTGTAGAGAGGTGGTGAAGAAGGCTGTTTCGTTACACCTCTTGGCACATTTAATTTCCTTTGTGTAATGAAAAATACACAAATACCCTTTAAGGATGAACATGGAAGTAAAAGACTTTATGTATACACCATAAAATCAGCTTTCATATTGCAGTAGAAAGCAATTTTCTTTTAATTAAGTTAGTGTGGGGCACCACACACAAAACTGTTCTTTGCTGTTTTCCAGATACCTGGCATTTGGACTCTTCAGGCTTTTCCAAAGTCTTCATTTTATGTAATGCAATGTTTTCTTTTTTAGTAATATAATACATCTAACAGTTCACATCTCCAGCATAGCCTTGGTATTTCACTTATTTCAAACTACAGTGTTGTTGATACTATCATTTTAGTGCCTATCACACAGTGTCTAATCCAAGACTGCATGAGAATCCTGCAGTCAAGCTGTTCCCTTTGAAAACTGTCCTGCTGCAATACCACCATGTACAGAGCTTACTGCAGTTCCTGTTACAGTAGCTCTGCATGCAACTTTGTACCCAGCCCCACTCTGTGCTGCTTGTCCTGCTCTGCCACAATTCCCAACCTTATTCCCAAAGGCAAGGCAATATTGTCTCTTCTCACGGTGTTTGATAGTCCTTTTCCATTTCCCAGCCAATGCAAGGTCATGAATTGGTGTCTGAGTCCTAGTTCAGGGGTTTTGTGGGTTTTTTTGTGGTTTTGTTGTTTATTTGGTGTTTTGTTGGGGTGGTGGGCCCTTAGGAAGAAAGGAGAAGACATTCTTAATCCCCCTGTTCACTTTGTAGTTCACTTTCTAGGTCACTGGACAGTCCTAGCCCGCTAATAAGTTTAGGGTGATTGTGGACGAGATAATAGTATGGAGAGCAGAAAAGTCCTGTCTTTCCAAAATCCTACCAACCCTTTGTCTGGAGGGAAAAAAGAAGTCATGTGGCATGGCAGTAACATACTGTCTTTTTACTTCCATCTTTTAAATTTACTTCTTGTCTTTAAATTTCAAGGGGATTAAGGGTAAAGCTGTTCAGTTATGAGATGTTAGGATTGGAGTTTCAGACGCTAAATGGATTTTTGTCAATTGTAAATCTACGATGTTGATTAAAATCTGGTTTAAAGTAGGAGTCTGGCTCCTTCATGGGCTTTAGCATTTATTCCAGAGAACTTGGTTATGACTGGTTTTGGTTCTAAGCATAAATCCAAATGATGCTTCTTGAGGAACAAATGATCTGCGTCCTTATTAAGACCAGGAGAGTACCTGCTATACTTAGGAAACTGTATGTTGAATGCATATTTAGAATTTTGATTTTTTGTCAGCTGTATCTGCTAATAACCTGTTTTCTTTTGCAGAACCCTGTGATAATATGAGAGAGATTCTACAAAATGTGGCCAAATTACAAGGCGTTTCAAATATGAGAAAACTAGGTCACTTGAATAATTTTACTAAGGTAAGAACTCAAATGGTATCATAGAACAAGTGATCATACAGGCAAAATGTTTTCTGTGCACTCTATCAGACATTGTCTGAGAGATTCATGAAACAGCTTAATATCATGGAACAGTACTTGAAATCTAAACAGCATGGGAAATGAAGGGAGCAAGAACGGACAAGCAAATATGCGCATGCAGGGTCATGCTGAAGTTTGTCTACATGTCCTATTGGCTGAATTTCTGTAGTATTTTAGTGCCAGACTTTCTGGATGTAAACTGACAAAGTATGGTGAGGGGGAGGACGGTATCAATGAGCATGATATGCAGTGGTTTGGATGCTGGTAGAATAGCAAATGTCAACTTTCACTGCAGTTTTTACAGTTAAAAAGATTTAAAGGGTCGATTTCTAGAAATGGTCTGTATTGCTAATTTTTGAGGTGCTTTTTCCAAATACATGCTTCCATGTCGTATGAATGTGATACGTACTTGCCTGAAACTGTTGGAAGCTGTCATTGTGAGCTGCCAGGAGGCAAGAATTAAAAACCTACTGCAGAAGGAGAATGTAGGCTGAAGAAAGAGTCCTTGAAAGGCCTTCAGAAGGACAGCAAGTACCATTTTGGGGTGAATGAGGAACCTGTGGAGAGGAACAGAGAGGACTGGTAGGTGGTGGGCAGGGAGTTAAGAACAGGGTGTTTGTTGTAGCATACAAGGCAAGGGAAAAGTGCATTGCAGTTAATGAGCTAGGAGACACTGGAGTTTCAGTGTAAAGTGTTACGTGGATGGATGGACTGATACTTAGAAGGAGCTAGTAAGTTGTACACCTTTCTGATAGAGTGCTATGGACAGGGCAACATGCCTGAAGATGAAACACAACTTTCTGTGACAGAGGATGGTTCCTGCAGTCGGCAGTAGCCAAGAAACAAGATAGTAGTGGAGAATTTTGCGTAAAGTAAGGTTTAAATTATTGTAGGTGAGATGGTAAAAGATCGTTGGGTAAGAAAACCAGGAGTCTACTTGACAGTTTTGAGACAGTCTCAAGTGAAAGAGCAGATGCTCAAGGACAGGTTTTGAGGACGAGTTGATATGAGAAGGACAGTTGTGCATAATAATCTTTGAAGTAGGCCTGCTTCTTGGCTGTTGAATCACTCCTTATAAGATAGAACAGCACTCTGGTGGTAGTGTATGAGATTCAGTTAGCAGGAGAGTGAGTACTGAGAACAAAATCACAATAGGAAGTAAATTTATCTTCTAGTGCATTAGTAATAAATTTGTAAGTGCTCCATTTTCTGAGTTGGTTCAGAGCACTTATAGGTGTATAGCACTCAGAGAGGAACTGAACTTACACTGAAATCTTTTCTTTGGGTCATTGCCTTGTTGTGTCTGTCAGTCATCCACCAATGACAAAATGCTGCTGTTTTTGCTGAGATTCCAAACTATGTTGCAAGAAAGCCCTTTATTCTGCTAGAGAAGGCTGATGTGTAGCTGTATTTCCTGTGCTAATCTGGAAACATGAATGTGAGTGCTTCCAGATTCTCTAGTTGCCTTGAAATTAAAGAGCTGGATTAGATTGGCAGATGTATGATTTCTAGTGAAAACTCAATATTTGAAACTATGGATCTTAAAACAGTGTTGACTTTACTACTGAAAATCAGATCTTAAGCACCTCTGAATGTGGTAGATTAGAAAACATACATACTGTAATTGAAGGATGGATCAAAAATTCTTTTTAAAAGATAGTTTTGAAAAATTGAATAATCCCATAATTGAATATTTGTTCTTTATGCTTAACCTGGTGTTAAAAATGAAAAATACTTAGAAAAACACAAGGAAGGATTTAATAAATTGGACTTAAGACTGGCAAAAAATGATGAATTTGTGAAAAGCAACTTGCTAAAATTAAATATGGCTTTTGAAGACACAGACTGTAGTTCATAACCTGATTTTGATCCTGAATCAGAGTGGCCCTGTGTAAGGGAATCATCCCACTCTAATATTTACCACTTGTTCATATATTCATCTTCCTCAAATATCTGCCTCATGAATGTGTAACTTGTACATTTAGTTTTGAAAACTCTTCCTGTTTTTGTATGAACTGTAAATGCAGCTATGGAAATAGAACAAAAGTCACAAATTGTATTGTATTGTCTGCCTTGTGGTTGGAACAATTTTGTGTTTTTTCATTCCAGTGGTTAAGAGTGAAAGCCTGGAGCTTGGGGGAGATGGTTTTATTTGATTGTTGCACTCTGGTCTTCTACCATGAAGATACAGTCTCAGTTCCCTCTTTGAGTTGGGAGTGTGGGGAAGGTAGATGTGCTAAGAGCTGAGGGTGTTTGCATCCTGTGTTGGAATTATATTGAAAATTATTTTGATTTGTTTGTAAATTCTTGCATATTATGGTCCATTTTTGAAAGGCCACTACTTATCTAGGATACTTGTCTCATGGACAGGAAAAGGACCTTTGAAATTTTTTTGTAGCATGTTGCTGATAAAATAATACAGAAAATCTTCAAAATTTTACTCTCCTGCTAGGAATGTTACTATATTTAAAAGAAAATGTCAGCACCAGTCTAAGCAGTTGCTCCCCACTGCCCCAGATTTTTCAGTCAAAGACTGGGCAGCTCTCACATTTGGAAGGAATACTGTTCTACTGTTTTGGTTGCGGGAAGCAAAATGTTTGTATTCATGTGGAAACAAGTGATGTAAGTTAACATGGACTTTCCTGACAGAGGTCATGGTACACATTAAGTTTTGTATTCGTTTCAAGATATCTGAGGTATGTTAGGTTCAGATTTCTTTGCTTGAAAGAGGACTAGATTTTTAAAGTGGGGATTATTCCTCGCCACCTCCCATTATTTAAGGAGAAGGAAAGTAGTCACCCTTTAAAATTTACTGAACTAGTCTCCAGGATTTTATGTGGAAGTTAAATACTTTAAATAAAATAATGGTGGTCAGCAGTCAACAGGATTTGTTACTTTGTCCGCAAGAATGATACCGTAAGGCAGATATTTTGTATGTAACTTGCATGCCTAAGAGATGTAACTCACCTTTTGTTTTCTCTCTTAACTAGTGACATTCAAGTCCTCACAGTACCTGTACTTACTAAGCAAAGTATGCTGTATGCATGATATTTTACAAAAACTTGCATTTAATTCATCAAGTTTTAGCTAGTGCTTCTTGGTGAAAACCTTAATGTTCATGTTCTTGGCTCTTTGGCTGCAGAACAGGGGTTGTTCTTGCCCAACAGGTGCTCTAAGTTTTCTGCTCCAAGAAATTAGCGTTCGCAGTCTGGTGATAGGCTGTGGAAAGATATGTTTCGTTCTGAATTGCAGCAGTGGTAGAGTTATTTCTCTCTTCATCTGCTGCTCATCACCTAATAAGTGAAGCTGCAGTTTTGTGGGCAAAACCATTTATGAAGTACTGCCTAATCTATATTAGACAAAAATAATCTTGTTCCTTTCAAACCACCTGTATCACTGTTTAAGCTAACCTGAATTTTGAGCTGAAAACTGTTTGAGGATTTGACCTCTAGTAAATGGTCAGTGAAACTTTGAGTTTTCACAGCAGTTCACAAGTTTAGTATGTGCCTTTGGCTTCAGTAAGCTGAGTAGGATTGCCCATCTTTCATTTATATGGCCAGCTACATAAGGCAAGCACCTTGAAGTTTCCCAGCTTCTGGTGATTAATACCAAAACACCATGGTTACTTCTTTGGGGTTTTCCCCACCCCCATGTGAAGTAGTAAGTGAGACATTACTGAAAACCAGAATGAACTCTGCAGTCACATTTACCCAGTGGAAAATATCTTCTGGATTTCAAGTATTTATTTAGAATCCTTTATTATAGAAGGTTTATCCCACTGCTAGCTTCTGAGAGATCCTTTATATCTTTTTAAAGCTAAAAGTGTATTTAAATAGTGAACAGAAAAAGAGCCACAGATATTATGGGGGTTTCTATTTTTCATTCAAAAAGAAAGGTGCTTCTTAAGGGCAAAATGAAACTTAATTAATTTTAGTGTAAACTTAGCAACTGAATAGCATCACTGATGTGGAAAGTTACATTTTGCAATCTGCTTAAAACTAATTCTGTCATTAAATAATGAGGCACTGCTCTATGTATTTTGACCATTCAGCTTTTGACCATGCCGCTGAATTTTACTAGGATATGGATTGAGTTTGGGGCTATAGAGGCTTCCATGGATTCTATTCCTCTCTGATTCATAGTCTGTCATTTTAGTCTCAGCTGTACTTTGCAAAACCCAGATATCTTAGAATCTGAATGTAGTATTGACTGACTGTAACATTCATCCGAGTAGCTGAACCCCTGTGGGGAAAACTTGAAATCTCATGATGAAGTACGTAGCAGATAGGAACAGAACACCTGCTTAGGGGCATTCAGCTGTGGAACAAACCCAGAAAGCTAATGGGTCTAAATCCAGATTCTGCAATTTCAGTAGGTGCTTCTCTTAAGGCTAGCATCTACTAAGTAGTCTCCTTACAAATATTACTGGTAATGGTTCAAACTGTATTTCAAAAATTGCAGTATAATAATGACATTTTGGATGCACAGAATAGTATCATACTTCTACCTAGCAATTGCTGTGGCTATTCTGTGAAATATAAATTTGAATGGTCTCAATGTACACTCAACTTGTGTATGCTGTTGACCTCCTGTGGTTTTGTTGTTTTGAGCTACTGTTTCCAAGACATGTTGATGTATTACTCATATTGCTATGACTCATCCAAGTAGCATGAAAAACTCAGAGCTGACAGTAAACAAGAAAAAAACAAAGCCCTTCACTGTAAGTTAGTCACTGTCTGGCCTAGCGTAAGTACCATTTTGTCCTAATACTAAATCATACCCTGAAAGAGTCTGTGCTATGCCCATTCATTGACTATTATATAAAAAAATTTGAATTTTTGAGTTGACTTATTGGCAATTTTAACAAGCGAAGTATAGTCAGTGTGTGTTTGTGTGTGTGTATACATATATATAGACATATACAAAATTTATCGTGTATATATAAAATATATACATTCTATATATAAAAATACAGATATGAAAAATATAAAGTGTATTTGCATAATTCCAGGCATTTACTTGATATGATAGTCGATTGCCACTTTAGTGAAATATAGCAATGTATAACTGAAAGCAGATTTTAGTATTCTGGTGCTGCTTGCCTACAAACTTTTACTATGATGATACACATGTTAAATGTTACAGTCAAACATATAGTAGGTACTTGGCTTTGTCAGGAACTCAGCCATCTACAAAAATCACTGCATTTGGGCCAGAATTACTGACCTGCTTAATGTTGTCTGAGGGTGAAATGAGAAGAAAATGGCAAAGGTTTCCCTATAATATGTTTAAGACCAGACATTTGTAACTAAGCAAATATCCAAAGCATTGAGACTGGCTGAACAGGATCTTCTTTATAGCAGCTTCCCTGGCTTTTTTTTTCCCCCTTTTAAACATATCTCAATCCAACCTCAGTTTGCCGGTTGTTTTTTTTTTTTTTCTTTCCTAGACTAAATAAACCCAACGACTCAGCCTTCATGGGTGTATTTTCTAGCTGCTGTGTACATTTTTCTGATACACTTTTTCCAGTTTCTCTGCTCTTAAAATGTGGTGCCAAAAATTTTGTTCTTCATGCAGTTTTGCGAGCAGCCTGTGAAGTGGAATAAAATGTCTCAATTTTGAACATAACGCAGCTCTATTAGTATTTCCAAAGATAAAGTTCCCTGCCTACCCTTGAAATGATATCATATTAACTCATTTAGTTTATAGTTCGCTGTAACTTACAGATTTTGTTTTCATTTTGTATTTAACATTCTGAATGTTTTCTGGACATCTTGTATTTCTCTGCTGGACTCCTTTCAGTTTTTATGTGTCAATGTGTGGTACCCCAAAGGATATGATATGCTGTTCCTTTTAATTGAATTTTCTTATCGACTTAGGACATTCCTTTCAAATTATGGAAACACTTTCAATTCTGATTTTGTTGTCCATCTTTTTAAATTATTTTCTAGCTAGAAATCCTGTAGGCACAGTATCGTGTGTAATTGCAAAGAAAGATGATAAAGAAGTAATGGTGGCCCATTGGAATGAGACTAAACCAATAGCTGTAGTTCATCTTACTTAGCTGGTTTTATCTGTTAATTCTCTGTGAGAAATACTGCTTATGTATGCACAAACAGCATCAAACACTTTGATAATAATTCTTATCACATTCAGAAATTTGTATCCATGCAGCAGTTTAGTTACAACTTTCATCAGATTTCTGTCAGGTTACATGACTATGTTTGAGTTTCAAGATAAGGTTGAGTTTCTTTCAGCATCAGTGAGGGTGTGCAGAGTAGGAGCACACAGAGGAGAACAGTTGGTATTGAGGAGGTAATAACCACTTTATATGTATTTGGTAAGAGTGGTTACTGACTAGACTAGAGCTGGTCCAGTGAACTGAATGCTCTGTAGCAATTGCAGCAAGTTAGGTGGGTTCCTTGAACACATCATCTGCTTTAGTTTCCTCTTGGGACCACTGAAATTTCTCCTAGAGAAATTGACTGCTCTTGGCTTGGATGGGCATGCGCTTTGCTGGGTGGATGGCCAAGTCCAGAGAGTTGTGGTCAATGGAGTTAAATCCAGTTGGTGGCTGGTCACGGGCTCAGTATTGGAGCCACTCCTGTTTAACGTCTTTATCAATGATTTGGACAAGGGGATGGAGTGCACCCTTAGTAAGTTTGCAGATGACACCAAACTGGGTGGAAGTGTCAACCTGCCTGAAGGTAAGGAAGCTCTACAGAGGGATCTAGATAGGCTGGATTGCTGGTCTAAGGCCAATTCCATGAGTTTCAATAAGGCCAAGTACCGGGTCCTGCACTTTGGCCACAACAACACCCAGCGGCACTACAGGCTTGGGGAGGAGTGGCTGGAGAGCTGCCAGGCAGAGAGGGACCTGTGAGTGTTGGTTGACGGCTGGCTGAACATGAGCCGGCAGTGTGCCCAGGTGGCCAAGAAGGCCAACAGCATCCTGGCCTGTATCAGCAATGGTGTGGCCAGCAGGAGCAGGGAGGCGTGCCCCTGTACGCGGCTTTGGTGAGGCCGCACCTCAAATACTGCGTCCAGCTTTGGGCCCTTCTCTAAGAGAAGGACGTTGAGGTGCTAGAGAGGGTAGAGAGGCGGGCTACCAACCTAGTAAAGGATTTGGAGCATGTCTCATATGAGGAATGTCTGAGGAATCTGGGACTGTTTAGCCTGGAGAAGGCTGAGGGGAGACCTTATTGCTCTGTACAACTACCTGAAAGGAGATTGTAGCGAGGTGGGGGTCGGTCTCTTCCCTTTGTTCTGTCGCTTGTTACTAGGGAGAAGTGGCCTTAAGCTGCACCAGGGGAGGTTCAGGCTGGCTAATAGGAAGAATCTCTTTACTGAAAGGGTTGTCAGGCATTGGAACAGGCTGCTTGGGGAGGTGGTGGAGTCACCATCCCTGGAGGTGTTTGACGGGTAGATGTTGTGCTTAGGGACATGGTTTAGTGGCATTGGTAGAGCTACGACAAAGGTTAGACTCGATGAACTTAAAGGTCTCTTCTGACTGAAACTGTTCTATGATTCTGTAAGTTGCAAACCAACAGTAAGTGCGATGATAGGAGACTTGCTTCGGAAATGCACAAGAGCACACAATAACAGCTTTCTCAAAAACGTTTTTTTCCTATACCAGAATTCTAATTCTGTGGGGTTTTTTAAAGTAGGAAAAAAGACTATAGAGGATAATGTGCTATATTAATTTAGGATTTCTGATTTGTCTGGGGTGGAATGATGGGGAGAGGTTTAGATGTATAAATGATTAGCCTAAACAACTATTGATGTACTTGTCTGAAACTGAACAATGAACTGTTTTTACTCACTATCTTCTCACAGTGTTTTGCTTACACTCTGCCAGCCAATTTTTACAGTTCATAAGATGTCAATAGAAATGCTAAAGCAGCAGTGGTGGCCTTAGGCGGTCCAACAACATGGCATAAAAATAGATTGATGCTATGAAGTGACATACTGTCATAACCAGTTAATGCACCAGTTGTCTAGTTTTATTATCGCTTAAGTTTGAAAGATGGAGGAAAAGAGGTTATATAATAACTTTCCTTATGTTTTATAATCATCTTTGGTTATAGCCACTGTTAAGAAAAAATGCAAAATCCAAAATACTTTAACTTAGATTATTTGAGCCCAAATGGGGCACTGACCCAGGCCAACTCGATACTCTGTCTCATCAACAACTTTGGATTTCAGCGTCGTCACTATGTATTTTTCTCACAATGTGAAAAATAATTTCCTAAAATGTAATGTGACCCAATTTGTGCTTGTGGAGCATAAACCTAGTTTAATTTGAATTTAAACCATCACGCTAATAAAATGTGTTTATTTAAAACCAGAGTTTCTGTGCAATATGCTGTTTTTTCAGGTGGAGGTGAACAGTAGAACAGGAGCATGGAACATGTTAAATATTTCAACTTACAGGAGCCTTAATTTAACTGTTCGTTTAGTTTATTATAAATTTCTTATTGTTAGCAGTAAATACAGATAAAGAACATGGCGCAGGGTTTGATATATTTTAATACTTTCAGAGCAGGGTTATTCACTGATTAGCACAAACACTTCCTGAATTCCTCACTGAGGAGAAACGCAATGCCATGCTGGCTGAGAACGGAACACATGCTTGTTTTGAAACGAGAGGGCAACGTGAAAAGCTATTGCAATCAGTATTAGCCATTTGAGTTTTTGGGAGTGCTTGGAAAAGTGCTTTGGGATTTGAATGCAATAATATAGTATTTTATAATTTTAGCTAGGGCTAGTAAATAAGATTGGTAGAGATTTCTTTGCCACTCTTGCAAGGGAGAAGAGCATCAGCTCTTCTTATAGAAGCAACTGTTTTGCTTTCCTCAAGGGGCTAAAACATTGGTACACACTAGAGTGCTCCTTTGGAGATTGGTTTGGGATGTAAAAACTGCAATTTTAAATTTTCAGTCTTGTGTTTAAAATGGATCAGTATGGCTGAAATGTTCAGAATTTGTGACAGTTTATATGTCTTTTAATGTGCATAAATTCTACCTTGTACCTCTGAAAAAATCAGCGCGCAAAGTTATATAGAATCTGTGACCAGCCAAGTCAAATGTCAGTTATTGGACACTTAACATTGGCAATGCCTTCTGGTTTTTTTCTACACCTGTGCTGCTGTGGCAAAACATAACAGTGGACCTTCATTGCTAATCTTTGCTTCAGAACTCTCACTAGAGCCCTCTTTTTGAATGCAGATGTGCTTTGACTTCAGTCTTGTTCGTCTCTGCTCGGGTTGCCAATTGCCCAGCTACAAATCTGGAGTTGAAAAAACTGATCTGTAGGCAGCCTACACAATTGTGCAAGCTTTTCTTTAGTAGGAGAGGCCACAGATTTGTGTGCGTTTGACGTATATAGGAACAGAATACTGACAGCAGAAGTTCTGAAGTTGGTACACTTCCTTTTGCTATGAATTAAATTCCTAAGGTTTCTTTGAAAGCATTGCCAGAAATCTACAGTTTTACATAGTCATCTTAAGAGTTATGAATAATAGATATTTTCTTTTTTTTTTTTTTCCAGCTTCTTTGTAATACTGGCCATGCTGAAGAAAAGCTAGGTTTTACATATGACAGCATCATAATATGGTAAGTAAGGAGCACTAGAGCAGTACAAGGGTACTGTATTTGTTCTAGGTGCAATTAAGGAAACTTTATTTGTACTTTGTATTTTGTATTTCTAAGGTGTTTGAAACTTTGTAATACAAACATACACCTTACAAATATTTTAATGACTAAATCAGAAATACATTATTCACTTCTGGACAAAGACAGGGAAAAAACCTCCAAGTCAAAAGTGTGGATTTCTTTATTTTCCTCATAGATGAAAAAATAACTTTAAATATCTCAGTACTTGCAGAAATGACTTCTAGTAAAAATGTGCACCTACAGAATTTAGAGCATACTCTTGATATAGTATCAGGATTTGAAATTAAACATTTTATTTTAATTTGATGTGTATATGTGTCTTTGTAGCATTGCTTGCCCTGCTGCTAAAACACCTTGTGTATGTACTTTCAAATGGAATTTTCCTATATTTTGTTGCCATTTCTGGACATCAAAAGTAACTACACGCTTATTTCTGGAACTTCTGTGTTTTTACATTTGTCTTGAGGCTCGGCATTGGTGGCGGAAACAACTAAGATCTAATATTTAATATAATTTTGTGTTCTTTCAATTCGGTTATCTGACTTAGGAAAGCTAGTCACCTTTTACGTAAAATGTTGGGAAAATTTATGTAATATCTTGTGGAAATACTGTAAAGTTTTTTAAATGGAACTGATTTTTCCTTGCTAGAACTAAAAAATGTAAAAAAAGTTAGTGTGTATTTGTGAATGCATATTTTTTTGTAACCTTTAATAGGTTATATCATCTTGTGATCTTACTTATGTAATCTATTACAGTGCCTTATGATGGAACATCACTTAAGAGTATAACTTAAAAATTCAGAGCTTTTACCAAATATTTTTAAATGCAAGTCTTAAAAGATTATGCAAATACTACTGTTTGTTTTTATAGGAAGAAGTTTATGGAAAGATCTGCTAATCCAAACACAGTTACGGATATTGATAAGGATAAAAAAGTATATTTAGCAGACACATGAAGGAAAATAGCCCCCTAATTAGAAAAATACCAGTAATGGTTCCTCAAAAAATAAGAAGGCATATAGCAGGAAAATTATCTTGGTTAGTGTTGTTACTTTAGACAGTCCAATGGTTCCTCTGTGTATGTAGATGATAAACAAAATCTTTAATGCGTATATGTAGGCTATTTGCTATAGTGATAATTTTTGAACTCAAGATACCATTCAAGTGTTCATACTTTAACAACCATAATCATGCTGATTGCTGATTCATCAGAAATATTTATAGGACTGATTTTTTTCATGACTTTTCATGCAAATTTAAAAATTCTGCTCTACAGAGTTATAGCCATTGTGCGATACTGGTCAGCTTGCAGACTTTTTTTGCTGTAAAAACTTTCAAAGTAACGGAACTTTCTAATTAATTTTGGAAATGACCTTCAGGTAGGCTTACTTTGAAAATAACATGCAAGTTCTGTGGCTTGGTCTGCTGTTGTTCCCAACGTTATCTTAGATTTCCACAGGGAAACTTTTTTGTTCTACAGAATGCACTTGTTTTTCTTTGAAAACATGAAAAGTTGTTTGGATGCAAGAAATGCTTTGTGAGTTTTCTGTGTTTGTGAAGTATGAGTGGCTAATCATAAAGCATTAAACTATAAGGGAATCAATGATTTCAAGAATAATTATAGTTTTCCTATAAAGTTCTAGGTTTTGGGGTCAGTAACCTTGATAAAATATTTCCCAAACCAAAGACAATTACAGAGTCATAGAATCACAGAATAGTTCGGTCTGGAAGGGACTTTTACAGGTCAACTAGTCCAACCCCCCTGCAGTGAGCAGGGACCTCTTTAGCTAGCTCAGAGTCCTGTCCAACCTCACGTTGGACGTTTCCAGGGTTGGGGCTTCTACTACTTCTCTGGGCAACCTGTGCCACTGTTTCACCACCCTCATCATAAAAAATTTCTTCCTTTTATCCAGTCTGAATCTATCCTCTTTTAGTTTAAAACCACTACTTGTTGTCCTGTCAAATGGTTGCAGTCCTATCAGTTGCAGTCTGCAATAATTGCAGTTATTCTCAAATTTAGTTATCTTTCTGTAGTGAGTGTAAGAGATGATTTAGAAATAGGTGCAAGAATGATCCTGTAATAGGTAGTGAATATCCTTTATTATTCTACCCTTTTGTTACTACTTCCAAACTTTTATCAGTCTTAATGTTTATCAGCCTTATTGCTGTCTTAGGAAGTTATTTTCATTTCTGCAGTGACACTTAATGCTGGGGCAAGTCACATTGCACTTACTTCTTCTTTTACACAACCGTGATGGGTTTTTGGCACTTTCAGCTGCAGATGCACTTGGATTGTGCGTTTCAAAACAATGTCCTTGGTCTGATGGCTATTTTAGAGTTATGTAGTATGGGTTTATAACACAGTTTTTTGTCTTAATGTGCAGTAAGTCACACCTAACGATCTTGAATTTTCTTTACCATGTTGTTAACTATACGATAACTAAGTGTACTACTTCAAGTTCCCTTGAAGTTTCTCATAACGCCATCCTAGTCTTACTAATATAAACCACATTGTCCTCTGTATTTCTGCACCCCACCTGCCTCCCCGCTTCCTCCAAATCAAGAATTGTATGCTAAATGCTGCCTACAAAAGGAGATTGAGAACCTGGATAAAAATCAGAACAAGAAATTTTCAGGATAAAAATCTTCCATACACCTCTGCTCTTTGAATTAATCTTTTCAGATTTTAATTTGTGAAAATACTTTTCATTATTATAATCTCTTTATATTCCTTAATACAATCTTCAGCAACACCCTATACCTTCTTATACACTATTGTAATAACTCCTTTCAAGAGATTATTAGAATATAGTTTCTGTAAACTCTTGGATGTCTCACATGGCTGACCAATTTTATTTTAAGGTGTTTTTGTCTTAAGGTTATGAACAGTCCTCTGGATGCCCTTCGGAATCCTTTCTGTATAGACCTGTTTATCACCCTTTCTCTGTCTTGGCCACTACCATTTATAATACGGTGCTAGCAAATACATGCAGATAGTTCATGTTCATGTTCTTTCCGTACACTTTGATGTGAAACTTAGTGGGCCGCTGACAATACTTACTGATACAGATTTCCTTCAGTCTTCATCATTTTCACTTCGTAGACAAAATATGAGTTCAACTAATAAAAAAGGCTTTAGGATGGGAATCTTCATGCAGATCTCTAAAGCAATGACTTAGAATGAAGAAAATGCTTGTTTCTGTCTTACATCTGTCAGTTTCTTATTTGTTTCATTCCTTCTGCTTTTCCTTTTGAGTTATCCAGTAGGTCCGACAAAAATTTTTCAAGTTTTCTCCTTGTGGTAGAGCTGAGAAGTCAGAATACATAGACACATACAGATACATACCACACTGGTTTTCCTACCTATGTGTTTTTCTGCCTGCTGTAGTATATCCTTATTGTCTTTATAAGGTCAGGTTGCTCTCAGACTTTTGCAGTTTAGTCATTGACTGCTGTAGTTCTTTTGTTTAGTTTTTGTTTTCAATGGAGAGGTTTTTGTTCAGCCTTACACACTTCTATAAGGCATTGCTTTCATTGGACCTTTATGTATTTTTATGGCCTTTAGGGTCTATATCTTTTTGGCTGGCTATATATTTTCATTGCAGTCTCACTATTTAAAGATAGTGACACATCCCTTTTTGGTGCTGTCTGCTTTTGGATGTTCAGTCTCATGATAGTGTTGTTCTTTGTAGTGGTTTCATGGTTGCCAATTCTTAAATCAACTTCTGTCTACAAACTAAAAATATCTTCCTCTTGTGAGCTGTAGAACAGGCTTTCAAAGCATTGATTGCTTTTGAGAAACTGTTTTTCTAATCACAAAATGTTAGGGGCTGGAAGGGACCTCAAAAGATCATCTAGTCCAACCCCCCTACCAGAGCAGGACCACCTAGAGCAGATCACACAGGAATGCATCCAGGCAGGTTTTGAATGTTTCCAAAGAAGGAGACTCCACAACATCCCTGGGCAGTCTGTTCCAGGGCTCTGCCAGCACCAAAGTAAAGAAGTTTTTCCTTATGTTTACGTGGAACCTCCTGTGTTCCAGCTTGCACCCATTGCCCCTTGTCCTGGCATTGGACATCACCGAGAAGAGCCCAGCTCCATACTCCTGACACTTGCCCTTTGTGTCGAAACAAAATTCAGAGCTTCCAAACCCCCTTGCTTTCTAATGCTCCTCACTGAGGTGGGAGGCTAAGTGTGGCTGGGTAAGGATTCCGAGAGGAAAACTCAGTAATAATGAAGTGTTGTTGCAGTGCTGGGCAGCACTGAGGATCGCTCCACCACGAGCGCTGCACCAGGGTGGTCTCACAAAGTAGCTTAAGTACAGCTTAACTTGTGCATATTAATTACATTTCTCAAAACTAATTATAATATTCAGTACTTTTCTAGAACTCGTTACTATATGCTAATGATTTTGGAACATGCGCAGTTAAATTATTGTAGGGGTCTTTTCTCCTTTGGGTGGTTGTCCATAGATTTCCTCACTTGTCCTTTCTTTAACCCCCCTCAGTGCACATGCTCAGTTGTTCTTTGACCATTTTTTTTGTCCCCTGGTCTCGTGCTTTACTTGGGTGTTATTCCAAGTTTCTGTTATTTACACAAGGTGATATGTCTATTTCTTCCAGACACTAAAGATCACACAAATTGTTCTTCCTTGACACACACACATGATTAAGTTCCCTGTATTCTAACTGGTAAAAAAAAAATTATTCTCTAACAGGTAGTGTAAACTACAGAGGGTAGAAGATAAAATGGTTCTCAGACTAAACTACATAGTTTAAAACAACCAGGCTTAACATGGTGAATACAAGAAAGTCTTAGCCCTGTCATCAGGGCAAGAGAAAGAAGAAATATTTTATGTCAAAATAGCTGACCCAAGATAGCTGCTTTAATGCAAAATCCCGGCAAAAAGCATGCTTTTGCCTAGGTTTAACTCTTTCACCCCTATCAATATTTCTAAACATTAATGAGGTCACCCCTCAGTCTCCTCTTCTCCAAGCTAAGGAGCCCCAGCTCCCTCAGCCTTTCGTCAGAAGGGAGATGTTCCACCCCCTTAACCATCTCTGTGGCTCTGCGCTGGACTCTTTCAAGCAGTTCCCTGTCCTTCTTGACCTGAGGGGCCCAGAACTGGACACACTATTCCAGATGGGGTCTCACCAGGGCAGAGCAGAGGGGAAGGAGAACATCTCTCGACCTATTGACCACACCCCTTCTCATACACCCCAGGATGCCACTGGCCGCCTTGGCCACGAGGGCACATTGCTGGCTCATGGTCACCCTGCTGTCCACCAGGATCCCCAGGTCCCTTTCCCCTATGCTGTTCTCAAATCTAAAGATTGTTTTGGTCTGCCATTCAAGAAACATTTTCCTCTCAAATGTAAAAGCAATGTACTTTACTTAATAAAGGGGAAAAAAAATCCAGGTTCAGTATTTGGCTGTCCTAATAAGAAATGTCATGGATAGCAACCAACACCATTTGCATGAGTAATGGGTAACTTCTGCCCTAAAAGTCAACTCTGCTGAAGTGTCATAAGCTGACATATCCAAACCAATTGTAAACTGTGAGGTAAAAGTCCAAATAGAAAAATACCATTGAGTAGAACTGTCTTCTGTGCTCATCCCTCGGACTTCTATCTCTGCAAAGCTGCAAAACCAGAAACAAATCATGATTTGTGATCTAAAGAATGCTCATTATCTGCTCAGCACAATTGAAGAGTTACTTGTCTGCTTTGCTTGAATGATTGGAAATAAATCTCTCCTCTAGTACAGTTTTTTTAGACAAAGAATTTTTCCTACCCTCACAGTATTGAGAATCTGTTTCTTACTTGCTTCTAACTCAACTTAAAGTAAATAAAAAAAGGCAATTAGTGGCACTTCTGTTATGTGAAGAATCATATTACAGCAAAGATGGTCTTGCTGAAGTAATTCCTTACTTGGTGCTGAAAGTAATAATCTGTTCATCTTTATTTGAATACAGTATTGCAATTTTTCTACTTTGTCTAGATATCACCTGGAATTAGGTTCCTGTTGTAATGACTTTTACACTGGCCGGTTAATTTCCAGAAAGATTCAGAAGATTTTTGGCCTTGGAGTAGCTGATTACCATGCATGACAATCCTAGAATAAGAAAAGAAAAAAATAAGCCATTCGTATAGGTAGCAACTCTGTCTCAGTGGCTGAAGTATTTACATTCTTTGATGTCTAAAATATGTCACTGGGATGTTGTGTTTTTTTTTTCCCCCAAACCCTTGACTCTGTAGTCAAGGAAAAAGAGCAAATCTTTTGAGGGCCTTCAAAAGGACAGTGCGTCATTTAATGCTTTCAAACTGTATCTCTGGAGGCCTTCAGTATCTTGTTTCTTTTTACCTAGATAGGGAATTTAGGAAATTACATTATGATAACACTTTTGTTTAGGAAGCTCACCTTTGTGTGAGCAAAATGCTTTCAAAATCTAAAGAGAAATATGTTTTGGTTATAAGTTAAAATGAAATCTGTAGAAATCTGTGCTGTGTGGGGCTGCATAAGTTATGACTGTCATATTTCATGTAAATGTAACATGATGCAATAATATCTTTAGTGAGTAGTGCATATAATTACTTAAGGTGCAAGTTATGCTCTGTTACATGTCAAGACATTGTTTTGAGGACTCGTGCTTATGGTTTGGCAGTCTAGCAGAGGAGGAAATGCTCTCTACCTGTTAATTTTTGTGGACTAATATTGTGCTCAGCTGTTTAATTAAATAACAAGTTGAATACAGGTCTTGGTCATATATCATTTCATGGGTTTGCAAGCTGTTTGGATAGTTGGTTTGTGCTTTTTCAGATTAATATATTGTCTGTATCTGCTGGCAGGGTTAAGGTTTGCCTTCTAGGCTGTACAGGTAAATGTCTCAAAGACAGAAAATTAGTGCTGAACATTTCTTTTTAAAATACAACCTTTTTCTTTTACATGAGTAGATGCTTGTCAGATCATGAAGTCTACCTGCTGCTAAATAATTGTCTGCCTTGTTTTCTTCGTTGTAGTCTAAGGTTAGCTTTACTAAATGAAGCAAAAGAGGTGAGAGCAGCAGGATTGCGAGCCCTCCGCTATCTCATTCGAGACTCCAGTATTCTCCAGAAGGTGCTAAAGTTGAAAGTGGATTACTTGATAGCAAGGTAATTTTTCTCTTCCTTCTTGTTGTAAATTATATAATTGTATCACTTGCTTTTTCATGGTTGAGACGTGAGAAAAGGTGTTTCCATATCCTCTTAACATTCTTGATATGTGGTTTTATAAAAGCCATTTCTCTCCAATATGAATAACGTCCTTTAAAAATAAAAGGATAATGCATCATACCAGCTAATCTGAATAAAATGCTGTCCTAATATGTGATATATTATGAGTAATCTAAAAAATTTCTGTGTTTTTCAAACATAAATGCCATTAATCATAAATTAACCTATGGAGTTGTTATAAGGTTGAAACATCAGTAATTTTCAAGTCTTAAGTTGTTTTATGGGAGTTGTTCTGATTCTTTGTATTATCACAGTGCTTTGGAGCCTCTCGTGCAAAGTCAGGGCTAAAAAGTAGTTCATGCCCAAGAATTTGTAATCTTTGACCTTTGTGTCATAGCAGAATACCAAAGGGCAAGCTAACAATGAGATAATAAGATCAGCATGATGAGTAGATATTTCTAGTGCTTCCTTTGTTAAAATCTTCTTGGATTTAATATACTGATACAGATGTGTGTTTTTCTGTTTATAAATATACACACGTAGTCAGTTTTAGTGTGCTGTTTAATTTTGTTGGAGCAAAGGGACTTTTCGGGTCTGAAAACACACACAAAACATGTTAATGTGAAGTGTTACAAATACTTTGTTTAGTCTTATTTGAAATGACAAATGCAGCTAGCTCAGAAAATATTTACTGAAGTTGTTATGCCTTGCCATTGTATGTTTGAGAACATTCTAGTGGTTTAATTATAATGAAGATAACTGAAAAAAATATAAACTGAAGCTAATTGACCAATCATAATGAGTATGCTTGCTGAAAGACTGAAATTTTAAACAGTCATAATATTCTTTTTCTACTGTTTATTCAATTGTGTAAACATTAATATGAGTTGTTAACAGTTAAGGTGAAAGTTAGTGTTATAAACAAAATGTGGTTTTTTTAACTTATTTTAGGTGCATTGACATACAGCAGAGTAATGAAGTAGAAAGAACACAAGCACTTCGATTAGTCAGAAAGGTAAAATCTAACTATATATGTTCTTATCATCTATGCTAGTCAGTTGTGCTGACTCCTGATTTCCTCCATCAGCAGTTTTTTCCACACGGTTTCTAATACCTTACCTTACTTTATAATGTGAGAAGAAGTTATAACTGATAATTCAAAAGAGAGAGTAAGGATAATGCTGAGACTTGTTTTGGTTTTAATCTTAACGACTGAGAATCTCAAGTGGGCAAGAAAAATCCTGCTGCCTTTCCTTTGGTAGAGATCATATTGGGCGAGATTTGGGAAAAACGTACCAAATGATCAGTGCAAGGGTATAAGAACCGTATTAAGTTTCATTTAATGATTTAACTTTATTGTATGGTGTGTTTAAGCATTTGTGAATCAATGACGGGAGATTTTCTGCCATTTGAGAAATGAGGCAAATTGCCATCACTGGAATAATCAGTTGAAGGAATGCTTCTAGCCTTATTGCTTTATCTGTAGAGGTTGATGCTATCCATAGGTTTTTTTCTTGGATACGCAGTAAGACATAGTTAGCCTGTGGTGGTTGCTGTACTGTGTACCCATGGTTATGAGATGTTTGAAGCTGTCGTAGCTGCATTTTCAAGTTCATTTAGAGAAACTGGTGTATATATAGCTTCTGAAGGTATTTTTTTCAGGCAACGTATTACTCTCCTTTTGTACTGGACTTTACTATTCTTTATCATGCTTATATTCTTGTATTTCTACTGACCATCTTAGGAAAAACTACCAGAGAAGAGTAAAGTTTGAAGTAGTTGGAAGAATCGTTCCCCAGGAGCACTGTGTGTGTTTAATCTGTTTTGTGTGTATATGTATTTAGAGAGAGAGATTGAAAATATGGAAGTTCGATGTGCTATTTCTTTTCTTATAATGAGCTTACTTGGTGTCTGTCTTACATGAGAGACAATATGCATGATTAACAATTGTGCCAAAAAGAGTTTTAAAGCAGAAACACCACCCCCAAAGAAACAGAAACCACAACCATAAAGGAATGGATCCTTGAGGAAGTCGCAATTTATGGAAGTTCTTCGCTAATCTGCTGTAAAACAAGAGCTTCAGTATAAAGCCAGAATAGCTTTAATCAGAAGATGTAATGGAAACACATTTATAATAGGTTTTATTTGGGTAGGAAACTTGTTCTCATTATTCTTGGGCTCTTTTGAGCATTTTCTACTTGAGCAAAGACTTCTGTCTTGCTTGAAAGAAACAAGAGGAAGCAAGAGAGAAATCCGTTAGTTTCATTGGAAAAAATAATCCTGAAAGATAAATATTTAAAAATCATACAGCTGACCACCAGTGCTTTTTTTCTCCATCATTGTACAGGGATGTTGTGCACAGAATGTGCATGCTGTACAGGGATGCTGATGGTTCTTCGGTGCTGAGGACTACATTGATGAAAGATGTTTCCTGACATCTTTTGTTACCTAGAACATCCTTTTTCCTTAAAAGACTGTCAGACAAACAAAGCTACCCAACCTGGCTACCAGTAAAGTTAACACCTTTTTCATGTCCTGTCTGGGCTACAGCAGTTGAGCATCCATTGGTATAGAGCACTCAGTACTGTGACACACATCCTGAATGGCACATTCTGTATTTTCACACTGTCTGTTGCCCTGCTCTTGCCCTTTTCCCATCTCTCTTCATCTCCTGCAATATCTCAGACTCCATGGTTTGATACCAGGTTACATAAAATATTATATAATGGTCTACAAGAGGAGAATGAATGGCAAATAGTACAATTATTAATTGGTTTGTTGGGAGATAATTTACTGTGAGCCATGGAAGAGCTGAACTGGGTTCCACCAGCATCACAGAACTACTGTTATCAGTTTCAGAGTGTGGATGCAGTTCTTTAACCTTTGCCTCTTGACGGCAAAAATGCCTACATAAGAATACCATGGATATAAAAGTTTAAAATTAAAACATTCTCTTGCTTTCTTCTTTTCCTTTATATGGAGTAGAACAAAATGAATTTGTAAAAGGCACTTAATGATAAACTTGTTTAAAAAATATGTGCAGGTTTAAGTAGTGTAGGAAGAGAAAGGAAGAGTAACTTTAAACTTTTTAAGCTTGGTTTCAGTTTTGGGGGTTTTTTGAAGTCAAAAGAGACAGTAATCATCTCTACATTTCCCAGTAAGACCTTTGCGATTTAGCAGCATCTCAGCCATGAAAAGAATGGCATAAAGTTGCTTCAGAAAGTGTCTTTCTATCTAACAAGTGTCAGTAAGACCCATTTTTTTAATAATTTAATAGGCAAGTTGTTTATTTTCAAAGCAGAAGTCAGGGTTAGATACAATATGAACCTTCTTCTTTCTTCCTCTTTTTTAAAGGAATCTTTAAAGACCAAATTCGAGTCTTTGTTACTTATTTCATCATAGCTGCTTGTAAGTAGCCTTACATCACCTGCCCTTTGTGTTTAGAACTGCATTTCAATATCTAGAGCAGAATGAAAGCAAATGCAGGAGTCTTTATTCATTCTACTGATGTACTTGGAAACTGATACTAAAAGAAAGAAATCTTTCTTTCTCGTGTCTTAAAACCAAAGAAAACAATGAAGCAGAACAGCCTTAAGAGGCTGTTTGTGTCCTTGCACTAGGTGCATGTCAGTATCAGTAGCAGAAAGGTTGCGATTTTGTAGAGTGGATTGGTACACTCATTCTATTGCTAATTCTTGTTGCTTCATGCCATTGTAAAAGTGAAAGACTGCGTGAGTGGGGAAGAGTTTGTTTGTTTTTTTTTCTTAGACTCCTATCTTAAAGCTTCCTGTTTTGTGGGTGACAACATTGTGTATGAGAAGTTTCTCAAAAACATGTCTTACAAGTAAACTTGTTAAAGAGTTCCAGTATATTTGTCATAATGGTTGATCTCTTCTCTTTTTAACATCCGTTGCAAAGAAGGTGAAACCATTAATCCACTCTGTCTGGACAAATATCTGTAAGACATCTAAGAGAGCTTTCTAAAATGAATACAGGACAAAACAATTTTGGAAAAATAATGAAGATAAGCCTGCTTTTGTTGGAAATAAAAGGGATATTAAACAAAACCTTGGAAAACTAGCCTTAAGTTTTTAGGTGTTTGATGGATATTTAGTATTTTTTTGCATCTCATTTATTAGTAGAGAAAAAATGTGACATGGTTGAGTGGGCTATAACATATTACGTTGTTCCCTTTTTAAGCAGTCAGATGGACAAAATCTTACTTCCTCCTTAAGGATATATCTGTTTTGTGATGTTCATATTCCATAGCGCAGAGGATATATATATTTAATTTTTGCAAACTATGGAAAAAATGTGAACAAACAGCTACTCAGCCTTGGTAGTCAAAGCCTCGTTTGGGGGAGAGCAAGGAGTCGTGGTATTGATTGGTTGTTTTGGAGTGGGGGTTTTTGCCTTTAATTTGTGCACAGGGTCTTACTCCTTAATCTAGTGTAAATTCCAATTGTCCTGAACTAGCAGCTGAGGATTTCTATGGTGCAGGACCTCTTCAATAGTGCAGAGGAGCATTGACTTACTAAAATCTGTTCTTCTATTCAGTCTGAAATTAACTGCATTTTTTTTTAATTGAAAAGTGACTTGGTTAATGGATGCAGGTCTTCTTTTCATCTTTCCAGTTTAACATGTGTGTATGATTTTTTTTTTTTAATTTTATTTTTGTGCCATAGATTTACGATTAAGTTGAATTACACTGCAGTTATAGGAAGATCAGGTACTATGCAAGAGGATATAGGGGTGTTACTCAGAGTTGCCTTCCAAATACTATAGCAGCTTCTTCTGTTGACTCTTACTTTCTGTAGTCTGTACCAATCTCGGGATCTGTCTACAAAACAGGAGATTTTAGTCCTGGCTAGTTAAACAGTTGAATAGATATTGAAGAATCTGCTGCAGTATGAATGAATCCTGTAGAAGAGTTTGTAATCTGCTCTGTCATTGGATAGCATTCCTTGTTGATAAAGAAATTCTTGGGGGGGGAAAGAAAATCAAAAAAGTAGCCATAGTTCTCTGCAATAGTCATCTTTCTAACCCTTTCCTATTATGATAAAATAATACAAAAATGAAAATCTGAAGCAGGAAGAGAATGATAAAGTGCATTGACAAACAAAGAATTTGAAGAACAAAAGAAATAGTTTTGAGGATTTGCCAGGTACAACCAAGTAATAGATGGAAGTGATCTGTCTGGCTGTATCTAGGAAACAGAATGCTGGTGAATCTGTGAGTATATTTAGAGAAATATTATGAAGAAACCAGAGGGCTTTTTCTTTTATTTTTGGCAGATGATCACTGTGAATGCTTCATTGTTCCCCAGTTCTATTACTAATTCTTTGATAGCAGTTGGAAATGATGGTCTTCAAGAAAGAGACAGAATGGTTCGAGCGTGTATAGCCATTATCTGTGAACTAGGTAAGATAACTGAAAGCTAAGTAAGAAAAATTTTTGATGCAGTTATCATCAGTTTTTGAAGTAATTCTCTTCTATGGGTTCGTATTAAATAGATTGTATTCAAATAATTAAGGGTATTTGTTTAATAATGAATTAGATGCTAAATGTTCTTAATGTCCGTTTCATGGATTTTAGTCATCAGTTTGATAGAAAACAAAATCACTTTAACATAAAATCAAAATATCTTAAATAAGTACCTGAAGATTTCAGGTGCTGTTCTTCCCTTTAAGACTTGCCAGTTTTTTATTTACCTTAAAGATGTTTCCCTGCTGCAGCTGATGTCCCTAAAACTAATGGATTGCAAGTAGGGAGAACTCCATACATGAGATGTTGACAAATGTACAAGTGTTCAGAGAACTACATAACATTTTCCTTTAAAATTTTTTTACAGTGGGTGCTGTGGTTAGCTGGCTTCTGGAAGTCAGTATTTGTGTCCATGTAAAGGCTGTCTAGACAGTGGTTTATACTAACTCCATGTATTTTTATGTGGGTACTGATCATTGAAGTATTTTCAGAATCTATTAATGAGAAATAACTTCAGCAATGTTTTCAAGATGCAAACTTCTATTTTAAAGGAATAAACAATCTGTTACTCTTTTATATTCTAGTGTAAATATTTTATCTAGGTCAGTCCAGTCCAGAAACCACTGTATGGAAACTTGGTTGGGAAGTTGCTACATCATGGTGACTGACTGACCAGTATTTTTTTTCATGATAAATTAGTCCAGTTCCTCAATTTGTTGTTAATGTCAGTCAGTTCCGTTAAAAACTTTACATGTGCCTCAGCAGTGTTCAGGAAGAAAAAGATGTGTGTACTGAAGAGATGACAAGTTTGTCATATTGGAAGCTGTGAAATGTTTTCTCTCTTATCACTGGCCAAAGTGACCTGTTTTTCTTTATTTAGCACTTCAGAATCCCGAGGTGGTGGCTCTTCGGGGTGGTTTAAGTACCATCTTGAAAAATGTGATTGATTGTCAGCTAAGCCGAATAAATGAGGCTCTGATAACTACAGTTTTGCACCTCATTAATCATCCAAAGACCCGACAGTATGTGCGAGCAGATGTAGAATTAGAGGTGGGTTCAGTTTTACTTGTTTAGTGACAGAAATTAAACATTGTATTACTAATGAAGATGTTTAATTTTTATCTCAGATTTCACCCTCTGTGTTAGTGCAAAATGTTTAAAATATTTTAGGCTAAGAGCATGATGATTTACAAAACAGGAATAACATGACAGATTGGAGTGGGTCTGAGGAACGGGCAAGACCCATTTAACTGTATTCTCATGTGAAAGTAATGCATGTCTTTCTTTTGTTTAGCGAATTTTAGCTCCTTACACAGATTTTCACTACAGGCATAATCCAGACACAGCAGAAGGACAACTCAAGTAAGTGTTAGTGCTGCTATTTGTGCTACCAGTTGTGTTCATGGTATTGGAATTAAGATATTTTTCTTTTCAAAGTGAAAATAAAAGCAATGGCATAATACTAAGCTACTTGAGGTTGAATACAGTAGGTTACAATGCAGTTTCCAAAAATATTGTTGAGGATTTAAGATTTAAAAGGGCTTGTTTAGGCTGAAGAAGATTGGGGGAACCCCTCCCCCAAATAGCAGCCCTTCTAATACCTATCAAGAAGATGTAGCAGTTGCCTTTCATGGTGGTAAAAGGTGGACGGACAAGAAGCAACAGAGGAAATTGAAACATGAGAGGTTTCAACCTGATATAAGGGCAGGGGTGGGAATTTTCTGAGAGGCCAGACAAGTGTTAGAACAGACTGTCCGGGAGAGGTCTGGCAGCCTTTGTGCTTGCTAGCTTTTGAGACCCAGCCTTGAATGTGACTTGGTCAGGTCTCATAGCTGACAACTTCTGTGTGCAGGAATTTGGACTAGAGACTTCCTGAGATCGTTTCCAACTTGAAATATTCAGATTTTTTTGACTATCAAATAGCCATATATGCTTAAGTCTGGGTAACTGAGTATGGTCCAAATCTTTAGGTCCCTGCTGTAGACTCACTGTCAGTGGAGGAACAGAGTGATTCACCTGACCATATATAGGTGTTTGCTCTGCAATGTTATCCTCCTACCATGGGAACTCCCTTGAAAAAGGAAAAGTAACAATACTTAAAAATTCTAATCTTTGTGTGTGTGTATGGACATTGCATAAATACATACACACACATACATGCATACATAAAAGATTTCTCTTACTCTGGGTTTTGTCCCCCATCTAAAACCTCAGTTAACTACTCTTTACTTGCTATATTAATTACACTGTTTATTTTATAGTAATTAACTGTATTGTGACGTTTGTTGTTTTAATGACAGGGAGGACAGAGAAGCACGATTCCTAGCTAGTAAAATGGGAATAGTGGCAGCATTTCGATCATGGGCAGGTAAGATTTTTTGTTTGAAGCTGGATGATTGGAAGGGGAATTTGACTTCCTAGTATAAGAGTGCTGGTTTTGAACACAGAATCTGTCTCATTTGATGTGTCTGATTTTTGATAATACCTTCCTACAATGCTACTAAGATATGTTTTGATATTGTAATATTGGAGGACGCATACATAGGTTTCTTTGACTAACTCTACTGACAAGATGCAGTTTTTCCCCTCTCATATATGATACCATGTAAGTTGTACCTTGATGGTGCTTACAGATGTTTGATGGGTGAGAGGATGCTGAAAATAACATCATATGATAAGAGTTTGCCTTTAAGATGGTTCTGCCACTGTAAATAAGAATCTTTTGCCTATGTGAAGAGATAGAAACAGAATAGTTTCACTAGCACCTGCTTTTACTAGGTGTCATAGCTGAAGAGAAATTGCAGATAGAGTTCAGGATTTCTTATGTAAAGACATTAGTAAATGAGAAAAAGCAGTGGTTTACATTTTTCTAAATACTTTCTCTCCAGTATTACCATATTTAATATGAAGATACCGCCCCAGGGACTGCTCATTCTTTTAGTCAGGTCTTGCAAATAAATTAAACTGGTTGATATTACCATTTACCAAAATTTTGAGTAGGATTTTTACAGGCTATACTTAGGAAAGATTCAGAGCTATATAGAAAGCCTTTTTCATTGTAAAACTGTTTGCTTTATTTTTAATGTTCTGAAAATGATTACTAAGCTTAATTTAATATCCAGGTGTCCTTCAGAAGTTTCTCACATCTGTTCTCACTTGTTTGGAAAGGAAGCTTGGGAACTTTGTGACTCCTTTGAAACTTCTAGAAAGAAGTTTCTGATAGGAGTGTTGCTGCATCTTCCCTTACTCAAACACTTAGAACTAGTAGCATATGCCTAAAAGGTCAAGTGACTGAAGAACAAATGTCTAGGGATATGTTACTTGCCATGGCACTTTCATTGTTACACATTCATCTTATTTTATATTGCATGTTATGTTGGAGACCAACATCTTAAATATTTTTAGTCCAAAAATGTCCTTACACTATCAGCCTTCCCAAAGGAACTGTAGCTAAAACAGGCTTGAGGGTGTTGCTCTTTTTGTTCTGGCTTTTTGGGTGGGTTTTTTTGCCTGTGTTCTACTGTTCTGCTCTCCTTATTTTCCAGACTGGGTTATTCTTCAGAACTGATGGTTACGATATCCTTTATTCTCATGTGTGATCATATCCTTAGAGATAAAACTGGGGTGTACAGCAATGCCTGCATGCACCCAAATCTATTTCTGCACTGCTGTGGGCATGTGGCCACGACTTGCTCCTGGAAAAGGCCTCTGAGGTGCACTGTGGGACATGTAAATGCCCTTAGTGTGTCTGTGGCCACATGTGCATGTCTTAAGTTTTTGTGACATGGAAGTTTTGAAATTGAAGACTTTCTTCAAGTTCATATAAAGCACATGTCATTAAAGTTAAATTTGTATGAGTGAAAATGAACAGATGAGTAGGTGATACTTTTCATCTCTTGGTGATTCTTAAACAGTAAAGCTTTGGGTGTCTTTATGATATGTTAAGACAAAAAGGTGTGCAAACCTGGATTCTTTTTGTTCATTTAAAGTTGCATTTTGGAGAACCTTGTTTGTTTTCTGGATGGTGTGTTTCTGTAAGTTTTAATTTCTGTGAAGCATGGAGAGAAGTAGTCAAGGAAGTGAGTAAACTTACTGTCTTTGCAGCCACATTCTTAATGAAGAGACTATATGAATTGAGGCTGAAAATCAATATAAGCCTTAGGTGGTATTCTGTAATGATTTGAAACTTTTCCCTATTAATATTGAAATACTAAACTGATTGAGTAAAAATACAGTGTAAAAGGACCAAACTGAAAGAGAGGCTCTGAGATTTTATGCAAAGTAAAATCTGCTGTTTTGAAACTTCTGGAGATAAGCACTGGTTATTCAGAAAAAGGTGTTTTAAAACGATTGACAGAAAATGTTATTCCACGTATGTTTAAACTTGCTGTTTCGAATTCACCTGATACTAAAATGAACTGAATAATTTTTTAGTTAAAGGTACAGCTTTTGATGCAGAAAATTCTCACAGTTCTGCCAAGATGGTGCAGATCTTTCAGGTTTAAGATTCTTTCTTTATTGACAGTTGTCTTTTCTTTCTGCCATTTCTTCCCTGTAAATGTTGGTTTTGCAGATGATCTGAAAATACTGTTCACAGTAGAAAGGGCAAAAATAGCTACAGTTTTTAATGAGGAAACAGTTTTGTGATTAGAAATTTTTGTTAAATATTATTGATTGGAAAGAAGATGAGATAAAGGTGAAAATGTTTAATTAATAATTTTTGTCATCTGTGCTTGTACTCAAACTGGAAATCAAATTTAATAATGTGTCTAATGCTTTTTTGTTTGGTGAGGGAATGTTACTATGAATTTAATGTTTTCTAGGTATTATCAGCCTGTGCAAACCTGGAAATTCTGGGATTCAGTCTCTTATTGGGGTACTCTGTATACCAAATATGGAAATACGGGTAGGTGGAAAATATTTAGTACTGATGTAGGAATAATATGGGATGTTTTTAATTAACTTATTCTTAACAATTTATGTTATGGTTTGAACGCAGACACCAATTATGAGCACATTACCCTCAAGTTTATTTGACCCCCAGGTTCAAGTCCATTATAAAACTCCTGTGAGAATGGAAGCACACGCTCTAAGAGGAGAGAATGGAGGAGAGAAAAGTACATAAACTAATTTCTTACTGTGGTCACAAGTCAAAGCAAATTCACATTAGCTGCAGTTACGAGTTTAAAGCATAATAATCAAGAGTTGAATCAGAGATAAAGATTCTTTCCAATTATCTGTTAAACCAAGAAGTTGGTGTTGACAGAAGTAGCTGTTCTAAAAATCTCAAATCCAAGTAGCCTGAGCTCCTGTACAATTCCTGGTGACAGTAAGACACAGTTCTAAAGTAAACAAGCTCCTTCCCTTCTCTTCTCCAGAGTATTTCAGTTTATGAAAATAAGCATATTTCCAGAAAAAGAAACACTGAAACAAGTACACCGATTTTAGCATTCTAGAGAAATCTCAACTTCAATTATTAATTGTGAACAAAATGACAATTTTTGTAAATCTATAAAATTCCTGTTGTGGTTTTTTTTTGGTAGCGAGGTCTGCTTGAAGTTCTCTATGATATATTTCGCCTTCCTCTCCCTGTTATTGCAGAAGAGTTTATTGAGGCACTTCTCAGTGTAGGTAAGTATTTAGAACCAGTTCACATAAGAATTCTGTCTGTTAAGCTCTTCTGCAAATTTGAACCTTTCACTGTCTTCTGTGTTGTAAATTACGTCAATATTAAGTGTTTCATCACTGAGTTTTTGGGTGCTCTGAAGTCCTGTTTATGTTAAGTGATGTACGTTAGGTAAGAGATCAACAGTGGAGCATAATGGAGCATTTATGCAGAAGACACGGTAAACATATTACTACAAATTAGGCATCTTTGAAGTGTTAGAAGCGTTAGTAATGTAGAAGTGTTAGTGAATGTTACAGAAAAGTTATTGAACAGAGTCTTTTCTATATATCGTGTGTCTGCTAGCTATCTCTACTGCACCTTAGCAGAGCTTTACTTTTTCTAGAGCAAGTGTATGCTTTTTCATGTCTTTATACTTAACAGAGTTAGTCTTTTATCTTTAAAATTACTCTTGTAAACCCAAAAATATCCTCTACGTTGTCTCACAGTGCAAAAGTATGAGCCTAAAAGGAGCAAGTTTCAGCCTTTAATGTTACAGCAGTTCTCCACGCTCTGGTTATAAATGTTTTGTCTTGCAGTTGATAAAAGCTTAACCCTTCTTCAGCTGTTACCAGTAAATAAATCATTCTTTGTTGCAAAGTTGCTACTTTGTGACATATGAATGTACATTTTAAAATTTCAGGTGTTGTGGTACTTTCTGTTAAACAAGTTTAACGTGTTTACGAATTGGAAACGTCACTATTTTGGTTGATACTTAGATACAATCTTTGTCCAAACTTTGAAGTTAGCCACATTTTGTTCAGGAGTGTGGATTAGATCACTTGTTGGAAATCCCTTCTGACAAAATTTTCTATAATTTGAAACCTGAAATAACATTTGTTGGCAAGAACTGTTATTTGCCTACTGGCATTAAAATAACACTATAAAATCCAATGTTATATTTACCATTATCCATATTTTCTTATTTTAGATCCAAGCAGGTTTCAGGACTGCTGGAGACTTTCTGATGGCTTTGTAGCTGCTGAAGCTAAAACTGTATTACCCCATCGAGCCAGGTCAAGGTGAGCATTTAATGAACTTAGTCTCAACCTCTGTTTTTGTTTCGTGGTATTGCTGACAAAATACTTGTTCTTGTCTTGCAGACATGATAAGAAATGAACTTTCTAAACTGTTCCCATACTTTTTGTCTCCTTAGGCCTGATCTCATGGATAATTATTTGGCTTTAGTGCTTTCAGCTTTTATTACTAATGGACTTCTAGAGGTAACTAATAAGTTTGACTAGATCCTTGTGACTTTTTTCCTATAAACATTAAAATAAGCTATTATACATTAAATGTTGTAATAATTTTGTAACTTTTGAAGGGACTGGTTGAAGTGATCACAAGTAGTGATGACCATGTATCTGTCAGAGCAACTATCCTTTTAGGAGAACTTTTGCACATGGTAAGTAAAACATTTTGCTGAGAATAAGTAGTATTAGTAGCTAGTTGTAAATAGATGTTTCCTATTATAGCTTTGAATTTGTGTTAGAAACTTGGAATATCTACTTTTTATCAGAATAGTGGGTTAATTTAAATTACATCTTTGGCACTTCATATATTAAAAACTATGAATCAATAGGAAGGCTGTTTGGAAAGTACTGAAAGTGCTGGAGATTCTGCTCCAAGGGTAATCCTTGGCTCTCAGACTCCCACCCATACACTTTCTTGCCTTGGTGGTCAGTAGTATTTTTAAGCTGGAGTCCTGCAAACTCAGCCGTCAGTTACTATGTTTGGGAACAGGACTGTTGCTGATCTTTGCTTTTCTTAGAAAGATGGTAGCCCTCTGGCAGTGTGTTTAGCTTCCTGCATCACAGGCTAGGCAGATGAAATTTTTTTCATGTTCAGCTTTGACTGGTTCACTTGATATTATTTGTTCAGGCAACTCTTAACTTAGTGGGGTGCTCTTTCAGCACTGCTGTGGGTGGTCCCTGCTACAGAGAAGCTGAAAGGACCTTGCTTCATTCTGCTTCCCTCTACCTAACGTATCTTTTGTAGTAGCTTCTCTCTCTTAACCTAAACTATTTTGGTATGGAGATGGTATTACTGTTTTCATATCCACTTCAGTGCTACCTTTCAGCTCCCCAAGGAGCTGTTAGTCATATGCAAAGTGATATGATTTACCTTTCTTGCAAAACAGTTTTTTCATTTTTCACATCCTCTCTTAATGACAAGAATAGCATATGCAGCAGAGCACTTTTTGATCAGTTTTCTTGTGGTCTTTTTAATCTTTTTTTTTTCCAAATAAACTATAAGAGAGGGTAAGATTGTGGAATACAACCTTATATTGCAAAAATTTGAATATGATTTATCAGACATGGTCTGTATTTTCAGACTGTCAGCTCATTTCAATGGTGCTTATGCTCCAAAACCCAAGATCAGTCTTCAGATATAGGATTGCTTATAATTCCAGAGTGTGTGTGTGTGTGTGTAACAAATCTGTTCTTTAGTCTCTCTGGTGATTTTTCTTTAAATAATCAATGGAATTCCTTGAGTATTCAGTTAGCCATGTAGTTTAAAAAGAGGAATCTGTAATAATTCTTGCTATTTTTCTGTCTTCCAAAATATTTTTGAATAAGAGTGACTGTTACTGACATTTGAGTATGCTGCAAATCATAGGCATTTTTTGGTTTTCTGAAGAGGTGATTCGTTAGTCAGAGATGACTTTATCAGAATACTGAAGAAATATTTGTACTTTTATTTAGTTTTAAGAGATTGAAGTAACTTCTTTATATTAATTATTCTTTAGTTTCCAAAAATATTTGCAGAACTACCTGTTTCCCAAAATAAAGGCAACTAAATGTCTAGTAACTTAAGAATTTATGGTAATTCATCGTATTACTTTTTTGTGCAGAAAGTTTTTAATAGAAATCATCATCTTAAATTGTATTTCTGACTTTAGATTTCTTTTTTTAGCACTTTTATACAGATGACATAAAGATATCTGATGCTTTGCATGTTTTTGCATGTTACCACTTAAAAAATCACCAATGCAAACAATAGAGATTAGAAGACTCTGAAATCTAAAATTGTCTTAAGTTACTTTCAGTTGTGTTTCTGATTGAGTAGTTAGATCAAATATTCAAAATGGTGTGTGGAATTATTTCTGTGACATTATGCAAAAGATAGTTTTATTTTCATGCATTTGTGAAAGTCTGGTGAAAAGTGATACATTCTTCAAATGTTGATCCTAAAGAGATGGCTGAAAATGTTGTAGTAAGTTATTCTAACTGGTCTTCTATTGTTTTTTAGGCAAACACAATTCTTCCTCATTCTCACAGCCATCACCTGCACTGCTTGCCAACGCTAATGAATATGGCAGCATCTTTTGACATCATGAAAGAGAAAAGACTGTAAGAATTCTAAGTTACACTTAAAAGCAAAAATATTTGCATCTGTCTTCCCCCTGCAGTTGAGCGAAAAACCTGCCATACAACTTTCTGGTGACTGAAACTACTGCTGTCTTTAATTAAAAACAAACATGTGCATATAGAAGTGCTTTGTCACACTTACTAGAGAAATAATTTCCAGTACATCGTTCCAAAAGTGTTTACAGTAACAAGTTTGAAATTTGAAAAGAGTTTTGATGGTAGATTTCAGAACATTTTTGCATAGATTGCAAGATTTTTACACAGAATTTTTCTTAAATGAGGTCTAAGGCACCGTTTGACCAAGCAACATCCAAGAGGTGTTCTGTGTGTTTGAACCTCTCCGTTGTTTCACACTTCTTTTTTGGCCTTTTGAAGCTATTAAGCTTTCAAAAGTAAAAAAGCCTGAACCATTTTTTTTCTTCTGTTGTTGTTTTTCTGTAGCTAATTAAATAGTAGTAGACCAAATCAGTGAGTCGTCATTAGTGTGAGCAAGAGCAAAATTTGTAATACTGGCATGGAGCTAGTTTTCTGGGGTTTATATAATTATTTTTAAACCATTTTTTTTTCTTCAGAAGAAAATGGTGATTGTAACAGTAGTATTTATGTTAAAACTTTCTGGTGCTTTTGTTCGAAGTTTGCACTGATAATTTTTTCAATTCCATTTAAATATAAGAAGGTAGGAACAGAAATTTTAAATTTAGTGCAGCATTCTGTAGTGGCATGTGGTTAAGCAGTATTAGGGACTGTTTTGCAGTCACATTGCCAATGAAATAAGGTATATTTAGGCATCCAAGTCAAAAAAAAAAGTGTATAGAAGCTTTTTTATTCCTCTTTGAACTAGAATAACTGATTTTTGAGATTGTAAAAACCTATAGGCTTTTTTATTTTATTTTAGATATTTTTTAGGATTTCTTTGTGCATCTATTAATCTTGCAATTTAACCTCTGAAGTGCTCTGTCATAATATACCCTTTCCTAGGTGCTTGACATAATTTCTTTCTTCATAGAAGACCATTTCATTGAATGTGGTGGGGTTTTTTTTCTGATAGTAAATGATAGGAAATGTTTTTGTTAATTACTGTTGCCATTCCTGATCTGACAAGGCAGATTCTGATAAATATATCAAAACTTCCAATTTTGTCTTGTCAGTGATAAATTACAGAATCTTTCTGAGCTGCTTCTGCAAAATGGTACATGATACTTGCAGAGTACTTCCAAGAAAGGTAGTGCTCTTCTGCTTTTTAGTTTTGAAGGTTTATTATCTGTCAGTAGAAGATTTTGGTGTGTGAAAACAGTTATTTTTCAAAACAGGCATATCTGAAATTCTGTTGCAGGATATTTCACTTGGTCAAAGCTGTGGGATGAGAGAAGGGACAGAGAGCAGAAGGGGTACATTTGTGTATTACCTAGAGGTGTTTTTTTGTTTTGGCATTTGTGGACATACCTGATAAAGCAGTAAGAATTCCCAGTTTTGATGGAAATAAGTGTTTTTGTAGAAGTATGTAGGCAGGGGGATCTTGGTTTTGAGTAACACTCTGTTGTTTCATACTCTGAAAAATTGTAAGCCCTGTTACTTACTAAATTTCTGTAATTTAGGTAAGTGAACAAATTCAAAGGTATTTGTTTGTTTGAAGATAATATAAAATAAAAACACTCTCCTACCTATGAGAGTTTTTGTTTATGGAGAAGAAAGGTAAATTTATCTCCTCATTTTCAGACTACCTTATTTTGTTTACTCAGCAGGCTGCTTTTTTTCTGCCTCCACTATGTTGGAATTGACTGTTTTTGCCCTTGTCAACTGTAATTTCTATTACTTCCTATGTTTTCCTGGGAAAATTCTTAAATGCTGTTGCTGAACAGTTTAGATACAAAGTGCAGGAAACATACTACTGATGCTTCTGCCACCCTCTGGGGGAAATAAAAACAAAAGCAACAAATACTTTTAGTCAAAGTTGAAGCTAGCTGCCTTAACTCTCAGCTTTACTGCAGAACACTGATCTACTGTGTCACCTCACAATACTTACCAACTTCAAACTTTACAATATCTTGTATGACCTGTGGATTGCATGAATTGCAGAGTAGAAGAAAAGGTGTCAATAAGGCTCATTCTTCAGTACTAGAAATTCTGAAAGGTAATTTTCTATGTAATTCGGTACGAGACTGAGGCCTATGGATGAATGAAAACTTGATACAAGTTTTGCTCTTTTCAAGAGAATTGTTTTCATTTGCTTCAGAATTGTTGCTCACTTCTTTCTTGAGCTATGTTTATTTGCTCAAGATACAGCAGTTGCACTCCTTAGTTGGATAACAGTTGCCAAATACTGATATAGTATTTTTTTCTTTTAGACGAGCAAGTGCTGCCCTCAACTGCTTAAAACGTTTTCATGAGATGAAGAAAAGGGGACCTAAACCCTACAGCCTCCATTTAGATCATATTATTCAGAAAGCAATCTCAACGCACCAAAAAAGGGATCAGTACCGTGTGCAGAAAGACATCTTTATTTTAAAGGTATTATCATTATTGATTTTTTCAAAACTGAATTTGACTTTGTATTTTGGAAACTTAAATCCTGCCCCCCAAACTTCTCTCTCTTATCTAATTCAGAGCCATTTATGTGATTTCTTTGTAATATTTTTTCATTTAATTGTCTTGTAGGTATTTGTGAATACTGTGCTGCATATCTAGAAATTGAGGAATAAAATTGCTTTTTAGGACCAATTATGATCCCTTACTATTAGATTCTTAATGCAGTACTATAAACATGCAATTTACTTTCAAATGCAGATTACTGTGGAGCATAGCCCTTTTCATGATTATTACATGAACAGTAAGTGTATCATGTGACAGGACTGAAAAAAATGATGCAAGGAAACTTACTGTAGTTTTTCATGCCTGTATTCCAGGATACAGAAGAAGCACTTGTCATGAATCTTCGAGACAGCCAAGTTCTCAATCATAAAGAGAACCTTGACTGGAATTGGAATCTAATAGGGACTATACTGAAGGTGAGATTGAAAAGGGCGTGATACTACTTTTATGAAATGCTTTGAAAAAAGTCTCCATTTCACATGTGAACTTTGACTTTCTATTGTTTATTTCATAGTATATCCCATAATCTGTTTTATTTCAGAAAATCAGTATCTTACAGGTTTAATCAGTCCTGACAAAGTCTCTTTGTATATACTTTGAAGCTATATGCAAAAATGACACCACCGTTAAATTCACAAATTTCTTAGTAAGCATGAATTAAATTTATATTACTTTATTTGTATAGAAATAGACTTTACAGAATTAGCTATAACAACTTCAAAGCTGCTAATACTTTATTTCAGTCAAGACTACCCAGGGATACTGTCTAGTTCAGTTTCATAGTAGATTTTTTTAATACAATGTGAGCTGAACTGAAGGTTAAGGCTGGAGGTGGGTTATAGATCAAACTTGAGATGCTTAAACTGAGACACATATGAAAACTTCAGTAGTATGCAATCTCGTTGTATGTTTTGAAGTAATACAAATACACATGTGGCATTAAGTGCACTATGAAGTTTTTTTTTACAAAATAAAGGAAGTATCTCAGACAGGGAGGGCATTATCTCAAATATATTTAATGCGCAGCGTTTAAGAGACTGACTTTTTTTTTTAAGCAGAAAACTCACTTTCTTTGAGTAAGAAAACTTTGAGTGAGTACTCAGTATAATCTTCAAACCAAAATAGCTCGTCATTCTGTGCATCCTTCTGTTGTTACCTCCAAGTAACATTTTCTTACTGTCTTCTTTACTGTGTTGTTATGAAGAGGGTGAAAGTACAAAAAAGGATTAATGGTGACAATCATAATCAAGATTATACATTTAAAAAAAAAATAAATGAAAATAATAATAATATTTTTTAAAAACCTAAGTATTTCTCTGCATTTTTTTCAGGGACCTGTAGACTTGAGAGAGAGCAAGTATCTGTCTGGTGTAAAGACCTGAATATGTATATGACAGAAGCTTTGCTCCACCAAATTTTACTGTTTACAGGCTTCTTACTGCAATTACTAGATTTACTGGTTTACTGCGTATCTATGATTATTAATCGTAGAAATTTTTACCTTTTCAGTATTAGTTATTATCAAGGAACTGTTTTTCAGAAGCATGCTGTTAATAAGTCTGTGTAGTACCTTGACAACAGAAGTTTTAAGATGTTGGTGCTTTTTACCTGAAATTTAGGTCGAACTTGTTAGTTTCCCTGCTATCTCAAACCTCCCCAACAGTATATTTTCTAGTGTCCTGTCAAACAGCTGCTAGTGTCTCAAATCAGGGACATTCTGAAAGGAGTAAGAAGCATATGTGTTTTCTAGTTTAACAGTAATACAAGTGGTTAGAATCAAACTGGCCAACACCAGCATAAACCAAGACAGAGTTAGGGTGGTCCATCTTTAGTCCTCAAAAGAGCAGGATCCAGATTCCAGTGTTTGGACTTCGCTATCTCATGTGGCTACTCACCTCCCCTTTGTCGCAGCTTTACAGCTGTGGAGCATCAGCTTTCTACTCACCTTACTACTTGCTTCTCACGTGGTCCCTTACTGCCTTTTTTACTTGCTCAGCTTGCTGTCTAAGCTGCTAAAAGAGCAGCAAAAGTAAAGCGGTCAGGATGGAGGAATTATGACTTTATCATCAACAACAGAGCCTCTTTGTCTGGCACATATCTAGTGTAGTTAGTTTTACTAATCATGAACTAGTGCACTGGATGTCTTGATACTAGTATACCAATTAGAAATGTAGAACTGTATCACTTAGGTAGGAAAGAAGAATGTTTGATGCATTTTTTACCATCCCTTCCAAGAAGATACTTACTAGTAGCAACAAAAATAAATCTGAAACTGTAGAGACATGAGATGGCTGTAAAAACAGAGGAAAGTATAATAGAAAGAAAGGGTAGGTCCAGAAGAGAGTATTATGACTTTATGTGATCCTTCTTAAAACATAGAAGTATCAACAGAAGAGTTTAAATAGCATTTTAATAAGGAGTTTTTAAGTGAGTTATTAGAGAACAATGATTGTTTAATAGTGAAAAGGAAAAAAAAAATTCCATATTATGCCTATCAAAATTTTTTTGTTATCTGTGGAGAAGAAACTGAACAAAATTGTTTACTTTTCATTGGTTTTTCATAGTTGGCTGTTTTCATGAGAATTACGGCCTTGTACACATAGTCCCTGTCCTTCTCTAGAAAAATATAGAACAGTTCTTGGAGCAAGAAGTGTGAGCTTTTCAAAAAACAGAAAAAGGTGGGGGTTTTTTTTAGTTAACATTAGATTCAAGAAAACTTACACTTCTAATTAAATTAGGTAAATACAAGTACAATAGAAATGAGTAAATTTTAGTGACGAATCAAGGACTGATGTACAAGTTGCATATAATGCTATATTTGCTGTTTTTCTAGTGGCCAAATGTAAATCTAAGGAACTATAAAGACGAACAATTGCACAGGTATGTAAAAATTACATAGATTTCCTATGAAGAAAGAAGTTTGGAAAAATGGGGTTTTAATATTGCAATAAACTACTCCTTGGATATGTCACATTTCTAAACTTAATCTATAGATAAAAAGCAAAAAATGAAAGTTTACATAACTAGGTTGCAATATTTCTTTAAATAAGCAAGTCTTTAAGCTTTAGCTGTTTCTTTTCAATGCATGGATACTTTCTATATTTATTCCCTTAACAGGAATCATACCAGCTTTGCAAACACCCTATTTCATTTGAAACCTTACAGTATTGCCTCTTTATTTCATACATTAGTGTTTGATGTCAGCACTTGACAAGATTTGGTAGAATGGGTCCACAGTTGTACAGTTATATACTTTTCATCAAAACAAGAGGAAGTTACTTCTGGTTGCTATTAATGGAAAGGAAAGCATGTGTGATTTTTAAAAAACTTTAAAGAGTACAGCTCTAGTTCCTTTCATGTCTGTTGGCATAAAGACATTTTTATTACTTTTGTGTATGTGTGGTAATAGTGTTACTGATTAGTTCTTGGATGTCTCTTTTAACGTGCACTTGAGAAATTTATTAAACTATTTTGAAGAGCAATTCTGTATTTGTAGGCATGGAAAGCTACTTCTACAGGAATTTGAGGAAAAACCTAAAGCTAAAAACATGCCGAAAGGCTCACGCTGCTCCATTTTAAATTTTTACTAAAAAGTAATCAGGCTACTTTTTACATAGTGTCCCCAGCATAAGTGGTAGCCCCGTTGTAATCATAGCCATAATTTATTTTTGCATCTGTATTTTTTCTGGGTTTGTTTTTTCTTCCCCAGACATTAATTGCCAGTCTGTACTTTGTAGTAAAGGATTATTTTTGCAAATCTGATTTATAACATTGCTTCTCTAAAGCAATGTCTGCAGTCCTGGCTGTGACACCCATGCCCACCCCTCTACCTACCTACCTGGGACAGTTCTTGTTCCCTAGTTTTATGCTGCACTTGAGCATTGCTTAGTGCCTAAATAACTTAATTCCAGATAAATTGAGAAAATCTAGGATTTAGTTAGTGTAAAACTTTCACAGTTCAGTGACCGTTTTTGCAGGATTGCGTATTACATGCTTTAATGGCCCTAAAATGCTGTTGCTCTTATTTAATTATAAAAAATGAAGCTCTGAATCTTTCTAGTTTCACCGCTGACCATGAAAAATTTTCAGCCACTTTGTTTTTGAAGTGTAAAGTAGGTTTGTTGTCCCTTCATAAGTTGATGATTTTTTTTTTACTGGTAGTGTTCTTGTGATGATCTCATGGCTGTTAAACTGAAATTCCAGATATTTTTGGTACAGATTCCTTCATTTCATAGAGATACAGTTAATGCAATGTGCGTATATACACACTTACGTAAAAACATATATATGTACGCTTATAAATGTGTGCGACAATATGTGTAATATATTTATTGCTAATAAACCAGAATAAACTACATTTGACCAAACTTAAAGAAGCCCTCAAAATTTCCTTTATAATTGGTCTTGTGTTTGGAGTTTAAAAGTCTCATTTTTTTTAAGTAAAGGCACAGTGCTTTCATTAAGTTTTCTTAATGCTTGACGTATCTACCTTCAGACAGAACATTCTGTGTTATTTTAAACCACAAACGTGTGTTTAATTTTTGATGAAGAATTGGCAAGGGGAAGCTCTTTGCTGAACATTTTTAAGATTTATTCCTGCAATGCAAAACTCAAGCTATATTGCTCACCATGATTTCAAAAAGTCCAAGTGAGAGTCTGTGTTTGGAATCAGTGTGTTATGTTTCAGAAATGCTTAAGTGAGGTGAATGAAAATACTATTGCTGAATAAATACAGCCTTTTCCTGGCAGAACACAAAAATGTGTTTTTCACAGTAGCAATAACTATTACAGCTGAAGAAAACTCACATCTCAGATTCTTTTTTATGTCTTTGTAAGTCCAGATATTATAGTTTTTGAAACTCATTACAGAATAAATTACAGCAGAATAAATTATAAGCATGAGAATGAGAAGCAAGCTATGGCTTCTAAAAGCAGAGATTTTGAGTTCCTTTGCTTATTTTAAGTTACAGCATAGAAAACTCATTATACACACAGTACAGCTGCATCTCTGAAATCGTGTCTGGATAGACTCATTACTGCTACCTGCTACTCTTAACTTTCGAAATATTATTGCCAATAAGTTAATTTAGTGATAACATGTCTTTTCTACCAGAATCATTTTATGCTGTGAGACTGTCCTTTTCTTACTGAAAAATAGTGAATTCTTTTTTTTACTTTCCATAGGTTTGTAAGGAGATTGCTATATTTTTACAAGCCTAGCAGTAAACTGTATGCCAACCTGGATCTGGACTACACCAAGGCTAAGCAGCTCACTGTGGTGGGTTGTCAATTTACTGAATTTCTTCTCGAATCAGAAGAGGTAAGAAATTTTCAGCTACAAGACTGGAGGTAGAATAAATAGTGCTGCTCTATGCCACTTAGAGCAAACCCCCTAATTTTAGTAAAGACTTCTGTAGACTGTGGATGTTAAATCTAAAATGATCGGTGTGATTAAGAAATAGAACTTAAAATCTTGAACTGTCTAGATGAGACACTGAGGAAGACTGTGCAGCTTTATTAAGTGCAACTTGGGGTTTTGGAGTGTGTTTAATTTTTGCTATGTATGTTCTTCCTTTCTTTACCTCCTTTCTTCTTGCATGCTAAAGACTTCTATGCCTCGGACTACAGGAAAATGTCATTGAACAATCCTTTTCCTGGAAATAATAGAATTGGTCCTAAGGTGTCTCCAAGCTGAACTTTTACTTGCTTTGAACCTTTTTCTTTAGTCTGAATTGTGTTTCCCAGCCAGCATTTCTATTTTGTATCTGTATTGTGTTTGTACATGTTAAGAAATTCAAAATTACCAATTTCAGTAAAGACACAGTTCGGTTACTGGTAAATGCTATTACTCTTTGTTTCATTAGGATGGGCAAGGTTACCTGGAGGAATTGGTTAAAGATATTGTACATTGGCTCAACTCTTCATCAGGAGTGAAACCTGAACGTAGTCTTCAAAATAATGGGTTACTAAATACCCTTAGCCAGCACTACTTTCTGTTTTTTGGTACTCTCTCTTGTCACCCTCATGGAGTGAAAATGCTTGAAAAATGTAATGTGTTTCAGTGGTGAGTATTTTTATCCTGTTTGAATTGTGCTTACAGGTATAATAGATACAAAAATTGTAAACTGTGCATGAGGACCACCATCTGTAAAGCTGAAAACTTTAAAGTTCTGTTGATTTACTTACAAGTAATGATCCCCAGTTGTGGGTTTTTTCAGTGGGGGGGGGTTTATTTAAGGAGTTGTCTTTTAGTCTGTCATTACTGAACAGATATGTGTGATTTTGTCACAAATAGCTTGCTTTTTCCTGTCTACACCTATCTGAGAGAAATCAGTATTAGGAAGGATGATACTGTACTGAAAAGATGGGGGGGACACACGACCCAAAGGAAAAAAACAAACAAACAAGAAAAAAACCCCAACAACAAACTAAAACCCTGAGAAAACAAAACACAAACCGCCAAAAAGTGTCAGGTATTCTACTGTTGTACCTAAACTTCAGTCCAATATGTTTGAGTGAAGCTCAATTTGAAGTTCAAAATTTTGTTCAGGTACAAAATACCTTCCTCTGGGAGTAGATTTGCTACTGGCTAATACCGGTTTATTTTTAACATAGTAAACTTCGAGCAAAAATTCGGGTGTTTTGATGAACTCTTTGGGTTTTTTTAATTGCTTTCATTGATTATTAGAATGCTTTTTTTTTTTACTGGCTTCAGAAAACTTGGTTTAGGATAAAATCTAGACAGTTAACCTTATGGCAAGCTTTATACAGAGAATGTTTTACAATGAGGAATTGTTCGTGGAGCTTCGTGAACATTATTTTTTGTACTCATAATCACTAATTAAATTATGCTGACAAAATTATTACAGAGCAATTATAAAAAAATACTGGTTTGGGGTTTTTCCTCTTGCAGTGCATTATTCGGTCCCCATTTGATTCGTATATCTGTAACAGTTTGAAGTTACTCCATTTCATTTGAGAGCTTACTTTGTATTCTGCATTAATAGAACTGAAAGTCAAATTCAAAGTACTTAATTTTAAACTATTGATTGAATAAGTAAGTGTGTTTGGGCTCAAATACTAATTTTTTTTTTCTCCCTCCCCTTCCTCCCTTAGTCTTCTTAATCTTTGTTCTTTGAAGAACCAGGATCACTTGTTAAAATTGACTGTTTCTAGTTTGGATTACAGCAGAGATGGGTTAGCAAGGGTCATCCTTTCTAAAATCCTGACAGCAGCTACTGATGTAAGTTCAATTCAACTTATGTTCTGTTGTTAATTGCTGCTAGATATCTATTTTGTTATTCAAGGTATATGATTTTCTTTTTAAGCTATTATATATCCAGAAATGTTTTTGGTTTTGTATTCAGAGAAATTAAAATCCTGCTTATGTAGCTTTTGAATTTCCTGTGAACTTCACACCATGTATTGTATTTGTGCTCAAGAAATTAAAATTTCAAATAGAGGTTTCGCTCATGTGTGAAAGGGTTTTAAAGTCTTTAAATGCATAAACAAAGTGCAATGTTATTGTCTAGGTCAGTGGACATCCTGAATCAATTGTGAAAGCATTGTTTTAACAAACAGAAATGTGTGTTTCTAGCAGTAATAAACAAGTTAACCTTCCAGTGTTAGATATTGGTTTGGTAATGATTGAGGTTACTGTGGCACAGCTGAGTAGAAGCCACAGCTTCTGGAATAAGGGAGTGGTTCAGTAACAGGCATTGGGATTTGTACTTCTGAATCGAAGGTGAGTGGAAATGAAACACAGGCTTACATAGACTTGGGAGAGGAAGCTCTTGGAACTTTCAAGAAAAGATAAATCATTGAAGCGTAACATAGTAGACAAGCAAGAATTGATGTCAGGGAAATGAAAATAGGTAAGCTGAAATCTAGCTAGGAAAGAATTTTCATTACTTCAGGGACAGCTATTTCTCTCGTCTGGACAACGCAGAATACATTCTAGAGTGGATACAAGAGGCAGTAAGGTAGATGCTAGCTTTAAATGTCTCATTGTATTTTGGAGGAGGAGAGGGAAAGAAGTTGAGGATATTTCTCTGAGACTGTCAAAGATTTGATGATTCTTATGGGTAAAGAGTGGAGTCTGAAAGTAACAAATATAGTTGGGGTTGAAGGAATGACTCATTGAAAAGAAGAGTGTGAGTCTTGCTACTGAACAATTTTTAAGTAATCTTTCAATGGAGTTATGACTTTGATATCCTTTCTCTGAAGTTATTTTATGCTTAGTCTGAGCAAGAAAACAGAAATTAGTATCTTGTGAGGACACATGCCTGTGTCTTTCTTAGACTTCTAAGCTCCTGTTAGATGACTGTCAATTAAGAGCAATTTAACTGTGGAACTTAATTTAGCTGTTTCTACTGAAATTGTGTCAATGAGTACTGTCCCCTGCCCCCCTCCACCACCTCCCAGATATTTTTACCTCAAAAGTTGGCCATACATGGTGGAGAGAGCACTCCAGCATTTCAGGTTCTTCCAAATGCAGCTAGTTAACAATTAGAAAAAAGTCCAGGCATGCTGTCACATGCCCTCAACAAAGTATACAGTTTATATATATTACACTAATAATTTGAGATATTTTTATTATGAATTTATGATTATGGTTTAGACTTCAGGAAAGATTTCTTGATTCTGGTATCTAAGGTATGAAGACTTAAATTCTGTTTTGAGAGAGATACTTGCAAATGTTTTCAAGCATCCAGTACTTACAGCAGAAGCTTTATGTAGGTAGGAGTGGGTTGATCTCCTTCCAAATGTTCCATAAAGACCTACTTTTCTACTTTCTCTTGGGAGGTGGGGGGGGGGCACAAAACAACAAACCAATGTGTTCAACTCTGATACAGGTATCACTAGCTGTGAGCAAACTGACGAAGTGGGGTGCAGATACTGTCTGAACATATTGTCCCAAGCATGTGCAAAGCCAGAAAGCAGTTGAGAGCTACTGCTGCTGTTAGTGATGATAACTAAAAATACTACTTCCACCTATTTGTAATTGAGCTTAATGAACAATAGCTACTAAACACTTCTTGTACTTCGGATGTGAATAGGATAGATGTCGGTCTTCAGCATCTTAGAAATTAAGAAATCTTGCAGAGCCTCCAGTTTTACCCATTTCAGTTCTGGTCTGTTTGGGATTCTGAAAAGGATTAGAAATGATCTGATTAGTGGCATTACCTTGACTGTTTAGTGCCAGACCTTGACAGATGTCAAAGTAGAAGTCTTTGGAGAAAGCTAAGAGACATTCGACAGGCTCAGAAACTTGAGAATGCAAGTTTTGGAGTTCAGAGTTAAAGATCTTTCTTGCCATATGCACTGATACCTTCTCACATCCGTGATATCTTAAGGTTTCAGCCTGCGTTAGCTGCCTGTGTCTACTGAGTTCTAATGCTTCCATTTTGCAGTCTCTTATGGATGCATGGATTTAGCAACATTGTCTAGGTAAAAGGCAGAGGTTAAGTAACTGTCTACTTTTTGGCTGTCACTGGAAATGTAAAAGAGTAGAAATTATTAGGATATATCTTCTCAACAGCCGAGCACTGACTTACTCTATAAGTAAAAGTGTAACCTTTCTCACAGGTGCACAATATGGGTGAGTAGTCCTTAGTATCAGAGTTAGATGTGAATTCAGGGATAGCAGTTTTCTAACCATAACAATCTCCAGCAAGTCCATAACTGAGAGGTGTTGTGACTTAAATTCTACTGTTTGGACTTCAGTGTTGCACTGAATGAGACTGTGCGCCAGTTTTTGTATGCTGCAATACCATGAGAATGCCTTCAAGATTTTATTTTCTTTTTCTTAAAGAATTTTTTTATATTTCTTAAACATATTACCATAAAAGTTAAATCTTGCTTATTCATCACAAATGTAAATGGATCTTTTAAGTTCAGAATACTAAAAAAGAAGGAAAATTTACTATTTGAACCTCTTAAATAGAGCCTGACTTCCATTGTGAAACATACTGAACACTGATCAATTAGTTGATCTGCTTGGTAGTCTTGGAATACATAGGGAAATATTTTGTGTACCTCATCTAAAAGAGGAGAATGGACTGGCTTCGCCAGCAGAAATAAGTCTTGTGTTTGCATGAACCACAGATGATTTCATACTTGGATAACAGTTCCTTAAGAAATTATTTTCCTGTTCTACTATGTGCCTAACCCCATATGTTCATATGGTGGAAATTGAACTGATGGGATTTTGAAGAGAATTTCTGAGTACTGCTTGACAAAAAGGCAAAATGTTTGACCTGTCCAAGAACCCCTTGGCGATGCTTTGTGTCCACAATATTGCCGCTGTCATCTCTTCGACAAAATGTGTGTCTTCAGTGTTAATGGTGTTTATGCTCCCAACAGAAAATCAAAGTGTAAAAAGCTAATCCAGAGGTTAAAACTTTTTGATTATTCTGGCATTACCTATATCCTTAGTGGTATAAGTGGTATTTTTGAACAACTGCAGTTGGCAAAACTATAAGTCTCTTCAAGAAATTAAAATCTTCATGTGAGGTGAAAGTAGTTGTCAATTCTGAGAGGATAAGATATGTGAAAGAATATGAAAGTACTGAACTGAGCTGTTTGCATGGGCAGCTTATGACTGAGGAGTAATTTGGAAGTGCCTCTGTTCAGATGTTAGGGGAAGGTATCTGCCATTTTCTGGGTTTTACGATCTGGAATTCTCAGACACGACCATTGTCAACAGCAAAAAAAAAGTAAAAAAAAAAAAATTAGCAAGCATGATAGGAAAAAAACTGAAACATGGCACAGTTTATACCACTCACTGCTCTGTCCCAGAAGAATATATTTTTAAATATTACTAGAACTGACATTCTGTCACCTTGTACAAGACAAGTGAATACTGAGATTAAAAATGAACATGCAGTTCAGTTCAAATAAGGCACTTACAAGGCCTTCCACCTTCCCTTTTCAAGGACTTCTAATGAGGATCTCATAGGATGAGTGGAGCCTGTATAGTAAGCCTCTGAAAGGATTTGTATTAATTCATAATCCAGAAGATAAATGGTGATTTTGATTCTGTATGCTGCTCTGGCTTCTAAATTCTGTTTAAAAGCAATAAAAAATTATGGGACCGGACATAATTTCTGAAAAGCTGTGTTTTGTAAGGCAAAAATACCATCTCCAGTAAGGCTTCTTCCCTTCAGAAATTTTAATTCCCTGAGGCATTTGTTGATGAAACACCGTATCTGTTTATTTCAAAAGCTGAAGATGCTCTTTTTCTTGGGTTAACTGAGGTTAAAGCGTCATACACCTTTTAACGCTACCCAGGTTTGTGAAGCAGGTTTGTTAGCCATTTGTAAATGAGTGTCTCTAAACAAGGAGAAGTAATTTCTGTAGCCAGCTTAGCATTAGAAGGGAAGAGTAGTATTTTGGCATGACTATACAATGAAAACATTTACAGAGCAATATCCTTGCAGATCAGTGAAGCAGAAGCACATCTTAACCTACTTCCAGATGTACTTTGGACATTCATGCTAAAGCAAAGTAATACTGTCTCAGCTGCCTTTCTGCCAGTTCATGGTAGAAACAGCAGTGTAGCCACTGTGTCCTCAAGTGCTGCAGTTCATGACCTAAAATTTTATCTTCATAGTGCCTACATCTACCGGCATCTATGCTGAGCTGTATGTCATAAGCTGAGCATAGTGACATCTGACTTGCTTCTTCACTTCTAAGGGTCTCAAAGCCCTTTAATAGTTAAAGTAAGAATCTTCTGACAGCTTTAGTGTACAGGGCTTTTATCTATGTTTTTCATGTAGTTCATGCATGAAGGAAAGCGGGGAATGTCTGTTTCCTCAGATGTCTTCTACACTGGTTTTCCTATCAATTCTTAAAATAAAAACATTCCAGGATTTTACTTCATCTGGAAAAGCAGTGATGGGCTTCGTGGCTCTGATGTGGGAAATGCATACAGGTGATCTTGCTGCACAAAGGATGTGGCCCCGCTTGAAGACTTCAGGACTGTTGGAAATTAATGCAGTGGCTTTTCAGCCCCAGGTCTGAGGTTTCAACATCTTCGTCTGTTGAGTCATTTCTTGTTGTAAAGACCGTTTTCCATACCTTCAATTACTTACAACTGTGTTCTGATGTTCCTTACATCTTTTTAATTATTGTTCTTTTCCTTCTGATGGTGGTAGGAAAACTAGAACTGTACACAGTGTCCAAGATGTCAGTACCCAGTGGATTTACCTAGTTACAATGCTGATGCATTTTGTTCTGTTTACTTTCAGTCGTGTTGGTTGCCATTAAACTTCAATCTAATATTAGCCCCAAGAGCTGGCTTAGAGCCTATTGTGTGTGTAAAGCTGGGATTATTTTTTCACTTTAGCTCATTGTTTCAAACTTATCTGCAGTGAATTTTATTTGCCATTTTATTGTCCAATCAGAATCGTAAGTTCCTTCTTATCTTTTACTTCTCCAAACAGAAAATAAAAATTGTTCTAATTCTGTACTAGCTATCTGGATAGATGCATCCATGTTTAGGAAGTATTTCAGGAAGTGAACATTGTAATCTTTTGTTGTCTGTATCACACTCGATGTGGTTACAATAGTGACAACAGTTCTTCATGAACAGATTTTTAACACTTGAACTACATGACGCGGAATTCTGGTTTCATATTATTCTGTTATTCTACAGGCTTAACATCTAGATGAAGTGATCATTTCAGCATAATACCTCTTGTTCTCATTTTTAATAAATATGCTGCTAGTCATCTATTCCAAGTATAAGGCATACCACTAACAGGTCTTGGCAAGTGTGTTATGTCATTCCTGCCCCCCCTCCAAAAAATAAGCCTATGTGTATTGAATAAGTAGAAATGTGCACATGATATTTGAAGTTGAAAGAATGAGATGAGGTTTTTGAAATGAACTGTGCATGTTCATATTTTCTACTCATTTTCTTTCGAGTCCTGCTTGCCAAACATTTCTGGAGGGGGAAAGAAAAAGTCTAGAAGATATGGTTAACCTGGGTAGTGCTGTCCAACTGGGGCAAATTCACCTGTCTCTTGGAGTACAGATACTCTCAGCATCCCGGATAGATCGTTCTTATTTTAACATATAGAAAATGTACATAGTTGTAGCTATCACAGCTTTAAAGGTGTAGGGACTGAAGACCTGAGGAAAGCTTTGAGTACCTTTCCTAATGAGCATACATTGTCAGGGTTGTTCTGGACTTATCTCAGGACAATGCAGCTTCTTGTAGATTAAGCCTGTTTGCTTCTGTGTGTATTTTTTCCTAATAGAAAATGGTGTTAATCAGTTTATGTTGTTTATTCAACAAGTTTTAAACAGCAGTACAGGAAATGACAGGGTGCTCACTTCATTCTGCTGTCTCTTGGAGAAATTCATGGTAGTAAAGTATTGGGGAAACTGTCTTAGAAAATAACACTTTTCTGTTTAGAAGGTCTTCTGAGAAGTTTTGAAGATCAGATACTTCTGGGAAACAATTTAAAATTTATTAAAATAAATTCCCCAGAGATTCTAGGATTTGCATGTTAAAGTTTTTTGCAAAACATAGCATACATGAAAGTACATGCAATTGCACTGGCCATTTGTAAGGTCTTTTTCCTGATAGTCCTGATGATTTTGTGTGGGGCTATCAACAGTGAATGACTGATGGATAAGGGCTTTCCAAGGAGACTTGAAGTGACCAGATGACTTGTGATGTCAGATGCAAGTTTCCCATTTGATAAGACAGACATAGCTCTAATAGACTGTAGTTCTAATACGTAAAGTGTACATCACAGCTGTTTGCTGTATAATATGGTAATTGAAATGTGTGTTTAAAAGTGATAAATTAACTACATTATAGCTATTTTTCTTCCATTCAAAAAAGCGTTTTCCTTACTTTTGCAGAGCTGCCGGTTGTATGCAACAAAACACTTACGAGTATTGCTGAGAGCAAATGTAGAGTTCTTCAGTAACTGGGGGATTGAGTTACTAGTGACCCAGTTACATGATAAAAATAAAACTATTTCTGCTGAGGCACTTGATATTCTAGATGAGGCATGTGAAGACAAGGTGAGCATCCTTTCCCTTTTCAACCTCTCTTTAGTATGCTACTCGGTAAGCTGTTCCCCACCCCCTCCTCCAGCAGCAAAGTAAAAGTACGCAAGAAGCTGCTGATGGTTTTGTTTCCTGATCATCGTTGATGGACTTCGTAACAGTTCATAGACCCCTTTGCTGAAAATACTGCAGTATTAATGACAAGATAGTGTCGACTTCTGGATTATGCCTACTTTTCAATACGAATTTGGACTAATTCAGCTATTTTTATCATTATACTTTTTGTGAAGTAGTATGTATTTAATGACAGAAGGTACCTAAAGTGCATAATACCAGGATGAGGTTAGTGCTGTTTGATAATTCCTTTTGTGAAAAACTTGCTACTTCATTGCTGGCAGATTGTAATTTGTAATTACAGTTTTCAGAATTGTATAGTGCTCAGATACTCCTTACGCGTTTTTAATTATTTTAGGCCAATCTTCATGCCCTTATCCAAATGAAACCAGCTCTTTCTCATCTTGGAGACAAGGGTCTGCTTCTGCTCCTAAGGTAATGTTGAACGTGCTGTTTGACTTTACACTGTACAGACAAATAACTGTTTGTTCTTACTCAAATTCCATGATTTGTTTTAAGTGGAGGACTAACTGTCTTGGTGTTACTTTGCAGATTTCTGTCCATCCCAAAGGGGTTTTCCTATCTGAATGAAAGAGGTTATGTAACAAAACAAATGGAGAAGTGGCAAAAGGTAATGCTAAGAATAAGAAATGTGCTCAGTATTAGGAAGAGGAAGGGTGTGAATATGAAGTATAGAAGGTCAAAGATTCTTAGAAATATTGCATATTCATATATGTGTATTGCTAGTGCCAATACATTTATTGCCCCAGTGACTTAAAACGATTTTGCTGAAGATGGTTGACAGGGTCTTACAGTTCCATAGCTCCTCTTTTGATTTACCTGCTTTTGATTTACCCAGGCCTTTTACATAATTTTAATATTTCAGCAAGTGTTTCTAAAATAGGCTGTTGTGTAAGGTCTTACCTAGAGAAGTGTGTAAATGAATACTACTTTTCAAGATACCTGTTACCTCTGGTTACTGCTAATTAAACCTGGAACTCCTGAAGATAGAATTAGTTTATGCTGTTAGGAAGTAAATAGGAACACAAGACCTCTAAGAAAAAGGTATCATCATCATGACTAGAATAAAACTCTTCATACATTATTTTGTTTTTGTAATTGATTATAAGTGCTTGGTCTCATTCCTGTTGGTAATTTTTTTACTAACTTAAGCTGTCACTTCTCTAGGAATACTGAAATGCATGGTGGTCTGTTGAGATTATTAGGGTTAAAAAGTCAGATGTGAACTATTTCCTTCTTTCCTTCCTTTTTTAACAAATTCACTGAAATAATTATGAAATCAATTGTAAACTGTGCACACTCACTGTATGTATGAAGAGCAGTAGTTTTGGTGAGCCCCATTTTCAGATCATAAAGAAATTCGGCCTACCTTAAGAATTACTTCAATTATTCTTTATAGAGTACCATGCAATTAAATTCATAAACCACTAAGTGTATTGTCAACCTTTGTCTGTCTGATTTTAGGAATATAACTTAAAGTATGTTGAATTGATTGAAGAACAACTTAATGAAGCACTTACAACATACCGCAAACCTGTTGATGGTGATAACTATGTTCGTCGGAGCAACCAAAGGTAAATTTGGGAAGATGTGTCTTTGGGCATAAGCTGGTGGAACTGATGGAGAGAGCTTTAAACTAGACTCTATGGGGGAAGGGGATGCCAACAGGTTTACAGTAGGTAAGCCAAGGGTTAGCATGTCGTCGCCTGAGGGTGGCAATGCTAGTGGGAACATTTACACTGCTCCTGGGAGTAGTGGAGGGCTCAGGAGCGTTATCTGAAATGCTTGTACACTAGTGCACACAGTTATGAGAAACAAACACAATGAACTGGAAGCGTTGGTCAGTTCCCAGAGCTATGATATCATTGGTATTAGTGAGACTTGGTGGAGTGAGTCCCACGAGATGGAGTGCTGGGATGGAGGGCTGCAGGCTGTTCAGGAGGGATGGGCAGGGCAGGCAAGGTGGAGGTGTCACTTTGTGTGTAAGGGAGATTGTACAGCCCTTACAGTTAGTGATGGTGTGGTTGAGAGCTTCTGGGTGAAGATTAGGAGGATGGGAAACAAAGGAGTGTTGTAGTGGGTGTCTACTACTGATAGATCAACCAGGATATTAGTACTGATGAGTTATTCTGTAGGCAATTAAATTTCTGCATTGGTAGCCCTTGTGGAGATTTCAAATTCCAGACATCAACTGGGAATACCATACTGCTGTGATGAGCAGGTCTTGGAAACTCGTGAAGTTTGTAGGAAATAACTTCTTATCACAAGTACTCAGTGAGCCAACTAGGAAAGAAGCTCTCCTAGACTTCCTGTTTGTGAGTAGAGAAGGACTTGTGGGACATGGGGTGGCAGATGTGTGATCATGAAATGGTTGAGGTTAAGATTTCGGTGTAATGAGAAAAAAGCACAGGAGAGTTGCTATCCTGGACTTCAGGAGAGCAAAGTCAGGGAACTGCTGGGAAACTGCTTTTGAGCCCTTAGGCATCCAGGAGTGCTGATCAGTTTTTAAGAACCACCCTTTAAAAAGGAGCAGGCAATCCCATCGTGTTGCAGGTCAAGGAAGTGGGGCAAAAGACCAGTTTGGCTGAACAGGGAACTCCTTATGGAGCTCAAGAGGAAAAAGAAGTTGTATGATCTCTGAAAGCAAGGTCAGGCTTCACAGGAAAATTACAGAGCTGTGGTTCATATTTGCAGGGAGGAGACACAAAGGCCAAAGCTGAATTAGAATTGAAACTGTTCGCTGTTGTGTCAGGTAACAAGGGCATTTTTAAGTATGTCAATAGCAAGAGGAGGTCTAAATAAAACATTCAGTACTTGTTGAAGCTGCTCACCTGGCTAATATGTGGGAACAGTGACTGAAGTAAGGGATCAGCTGCATGTTCACAAATCCTTGGGGCCTGATTGAATTCATTCCAGAGTGCTGAAGGTGAAGCAGATGTTAGGGCAGGACCACTCTCAATCATCTTCAAAGGTCTTGGGAGTCTGGGGAGGTCCCTGCTGACCGAAAGCTCTTCAATAAATTTATCAATGATCTGGATGCAGGAGTTGAATGTGCCATTAGCTGATGGTACCAAACTGGGAGGTGCTGTTGACTCTCTTGAGAGACAGGAGGCCTTGCAGAGGGATCTGGGTAAATTGGAGCATTGGTCAATGATTAATGGCATGAAATTTATCAAGCACAAACACCAGATTCTGCACCTGGGACAGGATAATGTC